TGCTTTTTCTACCGTCGCGCGTCGTTTGTCGTCTTCGACGGGTCGCCGCGACGAGGATCCTCTTTCGGTAGCCAACCCGACAGGCTTTTACCAATTTCACGTGTGCGCGATTTCCCCGGTGCTCGGTTTCTCCCCGCTCGGACAGAGACACCTTTTCCAGACACCGACCCCTTAATCTCCTTAACGCCAAGTTGAGCGTCGACTCGAATGCATTCGATATACTAATCCGACAGGCTCGAGTGAACGACTGACATTCCTGTAAATTAATTATCTGCCCGGTCAGCGAATAAGAAATTAATCGTAGCTCCGCGACCAATATTTTTAAACGAGATTTTTACAAAGACTTGAATATCGTTCCGTTGCCGATTTACGTCGCGCGGTATAAATAGGGCGTTACTTTCGCAATTTGAGACGGGAATGTTCATAATACAATAATTAGAATAATGTTGAAGCACGGGAGACTCGTAATTTCCATAACGCGGCGCAGTCGAGCGTCGTCGTAGTCGGTAAATGACATAATTATCGCTGAATGAGCGCGCAGCCCCGATGCACGTACGGCGGGACAAAATTACTTCGTAACACCTAGTTTTCCGCTCGGAAGTTTCTCCGCATCCGCTACCGCCGCCGCCGCCGCCGCCGCCGTTGCCCTCGTTACCGGTTGCCGCGCAGCCAGCTTACGAGCGAAATAATCCGACACGGTGACACGGGCCTGCCGCGCTTTTCGTTCACGGCCGTATTCTCCTCGGAGAGATTCGTCGACGAGAACATCTAGGAAACCATTAGGGGCCGATGGTTCGCGCGGAAAAGTCAACGAACCGTTCCGAGTCGCGCTCCCACTCTCTCTCTCTCTCTCTCTCTCTCTCTCTCTCTCTCTTTCTCGTTGAACATCTGGATGAAATTAACTCGACCGGCACTTCCGCAGACAGACTATCCACCGCAGACTGCGTCGCATGCTGCGTTATTTTTCCTCCTTCGAGGACCACGCGACGAATCGAGAACCGAGCAATCGAACAAGTCTGTTCGTATACCACCGGACGTATCCTGAATAGCGAAATAAACGGATGGGTTCCGCGGTTGTTCTACGCGTTGGACAGAAAAATATTCGTAATTCGATATCGTAGACAATCGTCGCGAGGAGTTCGCGCTGGGAACAATTGTCGGCGCGACGTACAAAAAAGCAGGTACGCTCGAGCCGATGAAAAGCGTCGAATTCGTCGTCGACGGATTTATAGGTAATTATTTTTCTGGAACGCTTCCGCGGTTCTATAGCGGATACCCCGAAGGGGCGGCGGAGGTAGGGTGGTTTCGAAACCGGCGTGGCTGTGGACGTGTTTCGTCGAGCGAATATCTCTGGCGAACGAGAGCTATCGTTGGGCGTGGAAACTAAAGCCTGATCATGTCGCGGATGTACATTTTCTACGGGATCGTATTCAGAGAACGACGTAGCAACGTGTGGTGGTGGAGAACGAGTTGGCGCAGCCAAAACGGGGAGGTGTAAGGGTATATAACGCCACAATTGCCGGGTACGACGATTCGCGCGAATCGTGCGCACAGGGACTTAGCTGGCCCGCGTGTATATCCGGTAGGGAGAGCGCGAGGAGATCGGCAAGATACGTTCACGGGAGGAGGATGACAGGACGGAGCGAGGGAGAAAGACGGAGAAAGAGCGCGAGGCATGGGAGGAGGAACGCTGAACGATGAGGGCGAGGGGTTGTATAGATACATCCCTGCGGCGGTGGTTTGTAATATTATGATAACCCTCCCTGGCTGCCTGGCTGGCTCGCCCCTACCCTCGCTACCCTCCTACGCGTCCCAGGCTGCGCGGCCACCCTCTTTCAGCGGCCATGTTGCCGGGAAATATGATTATTGTTATTATTTGCACCCTCCTTCGACCGCATCCTCCTGACTCCTCACCTCCTCGTGGCAATCCTCTCTCATCCTACCGCTGTTCTTTCTCCCCCTTTCCCGTCTTTCTTTCGCCGATTCGTGCCACCATCGGTACGATGCGAGCAACCCCCCCCCTCCATTTCTTCCTCCCATTCTCCGCGCTCCTCGGATCCACCGTCGATTCTCTTCTCATCTCCTCCCGCGTGTATACGTACTCCTTTATTCATCCCACTTGATCAAACTCGATTCTGCTGGCTCGTCTCTAGGTCCTACCGAGCTCTTCCCCGGATTGAGAGGAAACGGACGAGAACAGGTCCGAGGCAACCACCCGTCAACGGTGGTTCTCTCTTTATCGCGTTCCTTCTCTCCCGGTTCGGTGTTCCTTCGCTCTTCCCTCTCTCGTCTCTGTTCCGCGGTCGGCTGCAAAACTTTACGACGCTCGCCGATGCCATCTCCGCGTCGCACTTTCCAACCCCCTACCCCTTTTCTCTCTATGACGCCGGCTCTCTTCTTTTTCTTTTATTTTCCCACTGTTTGCTTTCCTCTCTTCGTCCCAATGGCAGCTCTTTTTTTTTCCACGGCTCGCAGTTTATCCGCAACTCGTCCCCGCGGAAACGTTTCATCGACCGAAACCATCCGCGTTCCTTTCCACCGGCTCCTTGTTTTTTTCGCAACTCACCTCCGGGCTCTTTTTTTCTACCACCCGAAAAGTTTCCTCGCGTGACGAATATTGAGAAGTATCCTCCGCGACCCGATAAACTTTCCTCTCTTAAAAGGAGGGTGACGCCTGTTTAAACGTAGTATTCGCGTTTGATCCTCCGAGCCTGTTTAGAACGTCCATCGGGCAAAGAGAAAACCGGGACGGGAAATCTGGACCCGAAGTTTAAATATCCCTGGCACGTATCCCGGAGCGGACGTCGCGGCGACGCGCGAGCCGTTTTCCCGCAGCTTGGACTAATCGCGTTACTCGACTTTCCACCGTGTACGTATATACACCTAGCAACGACCTACACGTACAGGTATCTACGTGCAACGGGGCACAAGTGCGGCGTCAACGTTGAACGTAACGAGGTATCGCGGCGGCGGTGTGACGCATGACGCGAGAAACGAAGAAATAAACTAACGACCGACAGAGCGGGATGGCGGGGGTGGTTTCGTTGGGAGGCGAGAACGACGAGGAAAGGAACGAGACCCGGGGTGAAAAAGGAAGGTGAAAAGAAAGGAGAACGGGGCAAGGAAGTAGGTGGCGGTCTCGGTTTCGTGGTAGTCGCGAGAGTCGTAGTAATAAATGGGCAACACGAGCGCTTATAAGGGGTAGGTAATCTAAAGCTTTCGAGGCGGGAGAACGAGCAGGCCGAGAGGAAGCGAGGAAGAAGATGGAGGTTGCCTGGAAGGGAGCGAAGGGGCAGAGGGCGAACACGGAGAGAACCGTGTGTGCGGGATGAGAAGAACCGACTGGAGGAGGAGACCGCGGAGGAAGGGGGTTAAGGGTGGTTACGGTGAGGGTGTGAGATAAGGTATAAGGTGGGTAAGATGGCGGACAATTTGCCGCTCGACTACTCTTGCCCGCACCCCTCCCTCGACGATTCGATACCCTTCCTCCTCCTGGCCATGTACCGGGTAATAGATGTTCCTCCTTCGCGACCAACAGAGAAACGTCGAACGCGCGCGCAAGCACCGGCACCGTTTCCCTCCTTCGACCCACCCTTACTCTTCGTTCTACCTCGTTCCTATACACCTACTCGCGTGTTCTACCCTCTTTCTCCGTACGTCTTCGAACTCCCCCTGCCCCCGCCATCATTCCCGCCGCACTTCCGGCGTTGTATCGGCGAGTGTATGCAGGTACTTAGGTACGGGCGACGATGAAGGAGAGCCGCTTGTACAACGCGAGCCGAGATAGACGCGCGTACACACGTACACGCGGGACCGGGAAATTGCGGCCGCTTTCGCGTATACACGATGAAACTGGCGTCCGAGGTATTCACATCCGCGGTGTACGTAGGTATTTTAAACGCTCTCCACACCGTCACCTACCGCGACCGCCGCCGCTGCTGCCGCCGCCACTGCTCGCTCCACCCTTCGAGCACCACCTCGCATCGACGGCCTACCCGGCAGACCGCATCGGCGTCCTCTCTCTCTTAGCATTCCATCCGCCATCTTCTCACTTAATAAAATAATTACCCCAGGCCAATTAAGCGTTCCCTCCGTCCTCCCTTATTCGCTCTTCCTCTTCCTTTCACTGTTTTAGTTTGATATTATCCTCGTCGCGCCGTTTCCTCCATCCGATTTTCCTTATTCGAGACTTCGCGAACTATTCCGCGTGGTCCCTTTATGCGACCGTTTAATGACTATTAGTTACTATGAAAAATCGCCTAACATCGGGAGAATTCGATCGAACGGTATTTATATTATTGCCTTTACATCGACTGTTTAACTTGGCAGATTGGGAGGAATCGTTGGGAATTTCAAGAAGTGTTTCGACAATAAAAATGAGAACCGCGGATCGTCGTACGCCCGTGCTTTTTCCCGTGTTTTAAATACCAATCGTTATTTAACGGCTGGTCACTCGCACCTTTTTTCCCCGTGTAGGGGAGAGATTTAACGTGCGCCGGCGATAATGCATTTTATATTTATGCACCGGCGAAAATTTAGCATGAAACGATACGGTGCATTGCTCGTCAGCACGGAAAATCATTTATTGATTTCCGATAACGGTGTTTTATCTTTCGTATAAATATAATGGTTCCCGGTAACGCACATACCTGATGAATACGGCGCGCCCTATTTTTCGCTCTCCAGTGTTTGTTCCACTCGGATCCATTTTGTAATCGCCGACTAATTGCGTTCCCACTTTACTGTTGACAAAATGCGCATCTTTCCGAGGCTTGTTATTGCAGCCGCGAGCTGCATAGATACACGTGTAGATCATCGCCCGCGAAATAACACTAACACGATTCGGTTCCTTTCAAGTGTCTCTAAATATCGTTCGATGAAACGCTGAACATATTCACTTTAAATACAAAATTAATTCAGAATTAGATCTCTAATAGTCACGCACCGATTAAACCAAATCACACGCACACACGTACTGCGATGTTTCGAGTCGAAAATAGCGAGCAGTACTGACAATGCCATCTAGCGATGCTCGTTGGATTCAAAACGAAGATGGTACGTGCGTTGCTGTCCGTCCAATTACGACGTCTGCCATGTCGTTGATTAGTCGCGTATTTGCCAAACAAGTCGTCGAGTCTTGTTGTAAAATCGCCTCGGTGTCGTGTCAGACGCAACAAATACGAAACAAATGGAAATTGGTCAAAGTTCCGGAACCCGGGCTGCAGGGAAAGAGTTTCCGGAGGATCGTTCACTTCAAAGATGAGTACACGATCGAGCCTTTGGAGGTTACTAACTTAGGAGGCAGGGACCCTGTCACAGGTTCGTTAAATTTACATTAAGTTCTTTCATTCTTTATATTTCATTCATTTTCTGGTGAAACGTTTTTCTTGGAGTCGTGTCAAAATGAATTAAATAGCACTCGTAGCTCGGTTCGGATCGCATAGTGTTTGCAGTTGTTAGTATGGCCACATGTCGATAGAAAATTGCGGCAAGTTCAATTGACGTACACGATTGATTAGTTATGTAATTTCTTCGTTGCTATTACAAAAACAGGAAGGGTAGTAGTTCAGGGAATCGGTGGTGGAGTCAAGCATAAGTATCATTGGATCCAATGGTTGAGAGAGGGGCCAACCGACCTCGACGTCCCTCCTAGGGAAGACAGAGTATTGCAAATATTCAAGGATGGATGTAGGACGGCTCACGTCGCGTTGATTGGAAGCGGCGACCAGCTGCGGTATATCCTCGCTACAGAAAATATGAAAATTGGCGATATAATCCGCACCCATCAAGGTATCCCAAAGAATCCCGTGAGAGTTTTCGAAGGCGACGCTTATCCGCTCGGCGCGTTGCCCAGAGGAACGTCAGTTCACTGCGTGGAAAAGTATCCGAACACAGGAGGCTGTTTGATTCACGCTGCTGGAACCTGCGGCGTGATAATGAGGCGGGATGGCCCGGATCGTGTGATCGTCAAGATGCCGAGCAAGAGAGAATTCAGTCTGCACGAGACCTGCATGGCAACCGTCGGCAAATTGTCGAACCCGCAGCACGCGTCGACGCCTATTCCTAACACGCAGAAATGGAGGGAGCTAGGAAATCGTCCGAGGAGCGGACTGTGGCAGAGGAAGGGTGGTCGTCACGGCCGAAAAATACGACCCCTGCCACCTGTGCAGAAAGTTGGGACAGGAATCGATAAAAGCGTAAGCCCCATAGTGTTAGAGTTAAATTCGTCGAAGTTGAATTAAACGTTGAAACAATTTAAACTCTTGAACAGTTTAATTGAATAAACGAAATAAACTAATAATAATAATAATGATAATAATAATTCTTTACATTATTTTATTGTCTTCGTTTCTTGCCCTTGTCCTTGGTTGGAAGCCTTTGGCTTTGGTAATCTTACACTGAATCAATCAACAAAATGGTCGGATATGCTGTACTTTGCCCCTCGATTTGAAAAGAATCTTTCATGGTAGGGTCGTAATTCGGCTTGCAAAAAGCATCGCGATAATAAGTCTCTTCCGCGGTACTTGCGCGACAGAAACAGAGTTCCCTTCTTCACAGGCCTTTATTATAGTAAACTGTCTCGAGAGAAGGATCTTTCGAGTGTATCTGGAATTTCGCTTCGCGCTCTAAGCGTTCTACCAGAATCGGTACCCGTTGCACGAACAGCGCGCAACAGAGCGGAGTAGCAAACGTTAGACATACTCCGCAAATTAAAACTTGCACGGGCACTACGGCCCATCTCGCGTTACATAGCCATCGTTTTCGGTCTATGTAGTTCATTATAATGGGTGACAATACTGAAAAAGAAATAGCAATCAATTTTTCACATAATATTCGTACATTAAATTCAATTTCAAAACACGTACTCATACTGGGCGAAGCCATAAGAATTCGGGATATTGTGACAGCGGTGATGGCTTCTTTCGCGGCGACTTTACTGTGACCCATCTTCCTCCCATCTTCCGATTGCAGTTCGATGCCATTTCTGAGCTCGGAGCTCCTCATAAGGGGAATGTTGACACAATTGGCGGCGGCCACCGCCGCGAATGGTACCAGTCGACCCACCAACCGTGGAGCTTTTCGAAAAACTCGATTCAAAGTCAGGGCTGTTGCCACAGCACCGCCCGTTGCCCCGACGTAGCTCGCTAAAAGCGTGCCCAAAGGGATCGGATTCGAACCGCTGCGGTTCGTGTAATTGACTATCGCGTTGAACGACTGATTCACCCATTGCCAGAACACCACGTGTGACGTTGACCTGAAAATTATCGTGCTAGTCATTTCTCATCTTTTCTTCCTATCTCGAAGATTGTGCCTTTTTTTCTTAAGGAAAGTTTCGTGATTATCTCGAATAGTGTTCATTTAAGTGATAACTACTTTAACGCGTGGATTTGATGCGATTATGCTTACGTACGTATGACGAGCAATCTCTTAATTTAAAGTTTGAATCTAGGCGGGGTGAAAGGTCTAAAGATCGCGTTTATCGCGATAAACTAGTCTCGTTTCAAATTTGTTGTCAAAGTGCCTTGCGTACGTACTGATAAAACGTCATCATGCAGCCAGTGATCGTCATGTTCATTGGAACCTGGGCACTCATGCGGCCTATTAACAGCATTTTCTCGCCCGTGTCCGGGTGGTACGCACTGTCGTACAAATACTTGCATCTCCACAGTTCTTTTTCCGTGATTCCCAATTGCTCCAGACTATCCCCCTTCCTGCATCAATGTAAACATCGCGGCGATAATTCTGTGATAATTGCCGCGTATTAACATACGTCTACACGCGGAATGAAATGTTAGTGATAATCGTACATTATTAACTACCTGTACTTGGTGATAACATCTTGCGCGTGATCCAGCTGCTGTTTAGTGGCGAAGACGTTCAAAGGGTTGGTCACGCGGAGAAAATGGAGCGCCCTACCCCCATAAGTGCTCTGATCCCAGTACGGCTTCTCGATGTCGATTCTCTGCTCGGCGACGTCTTTCGTTTCCTCGGACATGATCTCCGTATCCTTCGGATTCAACATTCCTTACGGCCGTTGGCACCAGCGGATTCTCTCACCTGTTCCTCTCCCACCCTATCTATAATCCACCCCACCACGCGTTATTACCGGTTTTCTGCGCTCGCGGCTCGTATGCACCAGACACGTACGCGTGTACGTAACCAGAGCAACAGCCTCGTCGGGCGTCGTCCTTTCGATTCTCGAGTTCGAAGGATCTATTCACCACGACTCGGCTCTCGAGCGGGCCTCGAGAGAGGACGGTGTCGCGCCTCTTGTTTCGTGCCAACGACTGAACGCGAATTTAATGTTTCTCGAGTTATCGCTCCTCCGCTCGACCTTTCGATCCACGCGCTTCGTTCCCTGCTTCTCACCCCCTGGACCTGGACAGTTTTGACGTCGATGCACGTGCACGCCTGCGCACTCACTTTGCATTACTTGTTTCCTTAGTCAAGAGATGGTAGCGAAATTCTGATCGTTTTCACTTTTCAATTTCGACTCCCAATTTTTCAGATAGTAGAAGAAATAGTCAGGACCGTATTAATCGTTCGATACAATCGGGGAGTTGTTACACAGAATAGGTCAAAGGGTAGCGACCCTCGGATTGCTTGTTCAACCCTCTCATAGATGGAGTTGCTTTTCTTTGTTCAATAAACAAAGTACAAAACTATTTAAGGGGCTAGGGTAGTCATGTGAATTTTCTAATACGCGTCAGTAAAATTTTGACGTTTTTTGCTATGTTTTATTGATAAACAGGCGAATGTATGTCATACTTCAAGTTCTGGATTGTCCAACTCCATTGCGAATGCAAATGCTTCTTGCTTAATCGATATGCAAGTAGAACCTCATTATTGAATTATTCTCTTCAAGTGTGAATAATAATCTCGTAGGTCAACGTCATTCAGGTGTACGTTACCGTACGATCAATAATTTCCCCTAAGCCATTACGCGTCACTCGACGATGTCAATGCCACGTGGAAAACTCTATTTGGAAATCTATTGATCGAAAGAAAATCATAATACGCCTCTCGTATCTCTAAAGCGCTGAACAAGCAGAGTTACAATTTTCGTCTATAATTTAATTTATTTAAAACCATAACACGTCTTTCGTATCTCTGAAGCGCTGAACAAGCAGAGTTACAATTTTCGTCTATAATTTAATTTATTTAAAACCATAACACGTCTTTCGTATCTCTGAAGCGCTGAACAAGCAGAGTTACAATTTTCGTCTATAATTTAATTTATTTAAAACCATAACACGTCTTTCGTATCTCTGAAGCGCTGAACAAGCAGAGTTACAATTTTCGTCTATAATTTAATTTATTTAAAACCATAACACGTCTTTCGTATCTCTGAAGCGCTGAACAAGCATAGCTACAATTTTTATCTATATTTAATTTATTCAAAATCGAACGTGTCGATTATATTTTCACAGAACACAGCGGCGACTATTAGTAATATAGATGCAAATATTGACACGGATTTAACCTTGTTACAAGCTTCCACATTAATGAAACTTTTTCGAATGCAAAGATCAGCTAAGACCGATTAGTGAACTTTCTAAAATAAACTTCTTAATGTACCACATAAGCTCGTAATTATCAAACACATTCGATCGCTGCGAATTTTGTTCCAAATTGAACGCTGCACGTTCTCTACGGATAAATTTTGCCAAATGCTCGATTTTCTTTGATTACTAATTACGTACACGGGTGCTCCACTTCCGTGGCCTTTCAAATCCGCGCACGTTTCCCTCATTAATGTAAAATATAATAAACAAGCGCATAATGTCAACTTAATACCGGTTACTGATAGTTAATCCTGCTGCATTCCATTTCACTCGCGGATATAATAGCTATAAATAAAATGACACAGAATAGCCAAGTACCGTAATAATTTAAATCCCTGTGTACTTCTTTCAACCGATGGCTCGTAGAGATATGATTTTTATGCAATTTGTACGATCGTATGTCAAAGGGGTACGTTTATTTCTCGTTATTCTATCATTTATAGCGTGTCGCGCAAGCTATCTGTATTTACGAGCGAGACGATTTACACGTCGTAATTCATACTCTTCACCGGGAGACTGAACGGGGTCATCGACGATGGACGTCGCGACAGATGCAGTTGTCCCGTAGGTACATTGTTTCTTTTAATCATCCCAGAAACGCTGTACGTTACTTATTCGGCTGGCCGTTTACGTTCACATGATGGCCCACTTATGCGGTACACGCGCACACGCATCCGAAACCGAAAACGAAAGGCACGACGCTCGCGACGCGCGTTCTTCCGCACGCGGACACTCCAGTTTACTTATTTCATTACGCGCTTACGGCTGCGTACCAACGTTTCGCGAGTCGTTGCTAATTTTCCCGGCGAAACTCGACGCGCGCGATTATATTTATATTGCGATCGCAAATATCTATGACACGCCTTGGTAACTTTTGTTTCGAGGTACTGATCGATTGCTCGTTTTTCAAATCGGTTTCTTTATCGAAAATCGAGGTATTCAGGGCGTTGGCGATTTTTCGCAACGCAGTATTCAGTGTCCGTCGATGGGGAAACGGATCCTGCGTTTACGAGCAGTTCTTCTGATGCAACTGCAGGTTTCACGGCTCGTTCAGTAATTCTCGAGTTTAGATAGTAGATTTTTATTAGCCAAAAATTACATACACAGCCATGCTACAATTCTATGAATAATATAATATAATAATTTCTTACTATATTATACCAATTGTTAATCGATTTAAATCTTACATTTTATCGACATTATGTATTGTAATTTAATTTGTATACCTACAAAATTTGAACTGTGCGATTCCTCTCGGTGGACAAGCATGAAGTGACTTAGGACGAGTTGATAATTCGATAACGATGCATATTGCGCGGTAATCCTTTAACAGAAGCGTTCCAGTGAGTCTCTGAGTAGATTGCACGGCGTTCCGGGTCCAGGAGGCCTTCTTGCATGCAGAATAGAGTTCACCGAATGTGGGGACGATAAGCGAACCGTAAATGCCGTCTGACATACCCTCCACTTGCTGCTCTAACGAGAGTCCGCGGAACAATGAAATTATTCGCGAATTATGCAAAGCGACGCAGGCCCAATTACGTCAGAAAACTGTGTATTGTCTCTCGAATTTTTCCGTTTTCAAATTAGAAATTTCTATTCAGTCCGCGAAATGTGGAACGCGTTTTGCATTGTTTACTTCGCTTCGGAGGTACGTCAACTTTTGACTCTAACAACTGATGCTCGATAAGTTAATGTGCGGCTGTCTCGCAAAGCGTGAAACGCGCTCACGTTTATTCAGCAGCAGCTATCGTGATGTCGGACGTATGATTTTCTGTAAAATGACCAGAACTATAACGTTCCCGTTCTCGCGCTGCCCACGTCTGAATCACGCGCGACGATGCAACATTTGCTATTACACTATTATCGAGTGAAAGAAAGGGTTCACGCTCGCTGCCGATACTTTCTCGGTTTAATACCAACCGCCCGATCGTGATCGCCTTATTATCTCTGTTACTTAACTCCTGTAACACATTCATTGTAATAAATACTCGATAACGAATGAAACTCGTTATACAATTTTATGAACTAATGTAAATGACCTAATCTGTGTTTGTTCAAGTAACAATTTCTGATCACTGACTTCTTCTTTCATATTCATCATTTTTCATTAGTCAACTTTGATTAAGCATAACTCAGAAACTATGTGATAAAATGCACTGAAATTTCGGCAAAAGTACCTATCAGGTGCTTAATTAATTTTGCTGAAAGTTTCGTGATTATTTCGAATAGTGTACAGTTAGGTGATGACTACCTTAAGATCATTTTTCCTATTCGTTAAGAGTTTTATCGATCAACGATTTCACGTAATATCCGCGTGCGAAGACGCGACAGAGTGTCAGTCACCGAGAGTTTACCGGTTCTGAACGTAAAAAGTAAAGGAAGGGTTCTGCATTTTTACCAGATCTACCTGTATCTAGATCGGGTGTGATGCGCCGATTCATATCCTGTCGATTACATCGACAACTGGGTCAGTCGTATGATTAGGGTAAACAGGCTGGACGATGCACGCGGATTTCGCCTTCCAGGCATCGATATCTGGTTTTAATCTAGTCGCCTCTACAGAGTTATACATATTTTCTCTATGTATATTTTTCACGATCTGTCCCCTACCACAACTACCACCATCAATTACACTTTTAGAAAACTGATACAAATAAGCTGTTCATCAAGGAATACTTGAACATAATATTCTGTTCTTCTTTTAGTTCTACGAAATCTTTTCATCAGAGGAATGAGCCAACAGATGTTTGTTTCCTCTTTGGAGATCCATATCGATGTTCCCAGGCCAGAAATATTCGGGACCTCGATCTCCTTAATTGAATCGCGCGACCTTAAACTCTATCAAAGATCGTTGGCAGCGAGGCAAGGATCGATCACAGATCTTATCTAGGAGATTGCACAAAGTTAGCTACACGAAAAACAGCGAGGCATGCGTGTGTCAGTGAGAAATGCAAATAAAATCGCGTAACTCTAGCATTCTTTTTCTTTTCATACTTATTGATACGTTGACGTTAGAAAAATAACGGATACGCTTTTCCAAAGTGGAACTTGCTATCTATATGAAGCGAGATGATAAAAACCTTTGATAAGAGAGTGGAATATGATCGTAAATCAGTCTTCCTTGTGACCTCAGTTTCGAAAGTGCAGTCAGTTAGTTATAATTGTAATTACACATTTCCAGGAGAGTCCTTGTTTGCAGTGATAAGTCGAAGTGTGCCGATCGACTGACTGAAAATAGAATCATACGTCGCGCACCGTCTGAGGCCGAAGACCTAAGGTTTCTGAACGTCGCACTGATTCCTGTTCTAATCTGAAAAATCTCGGGACTCGAGACTAATAGAAGAATCGACGAAAAGCGAACAGTGCGACGCGAACTGTGTCAGACCTATGGGCTAGATACGTAGGCTCGAACTGCGACGAGCTTGGAACGCATTGGGCTTTGAAGAAAGTAATACATTCTTACGCATCGAGATACTATATTCAGCCTCGTGCCTCGTGGCATCGACGAAAATTTATGCCAGCGATCGACCTACGAACACAGATGATTGATCGTAAGCTTTGGTAAAATGACGAAGCAACATCTGCAAGGGGAGTCGAGAGAACGCTAAGCAGATCACAATTTTTTAATACCCCTTCCGTACTTTCATCTTTTTACTAGAATACTTTTTGCACGCAGGTAGTAACGTGAATTCTCTTAAGAAAACTATGTTACCTGCTGCCTTCCAATTAAATAAAGAATGTTTTAAAATAACAACTACGTATTTTTTTTATGAAAAATGATTTAATCGTGATTTCATTTTAATTTTATCCTGCAAAAATGCGTAAGGAATCATTCAACGTTGAATCGTTAATGATACTGCGATCTAGTACAATGATATTTGTACTTTATTATAAGTACACTGAATATCGTTTAGTGCAGTTGTTTAATTCCGTTAGTAAAAAGTAAGAACCGATCCGGGGATAAGGTTAAGGTCAATCACATGCATTTTCTTAATTGATGCATGACGAATACGTTCGCTGTTTCAATTTATTTCATTTTCTAAGGCGAAACACGTGGGCGTAATGATTCCTGTTATAACCACGTGTACATAAAATTTGCATAAAACGAGTCTGAAGAGGCTTTTGAATTGAGAAGCAGACTTTGTTGATTCTCGTGTTACAAGATTGCTTGGAACTCCAGCTTGAATGAGAGTACGCGCCGTTCTCCACTGTTCGCGTTCTCCAGGTTCTCCAAGCGCGACAGATATTCGCACCGCGCTGAATCAAGCTCCAGTCTCTACGCGTTATCTAAGCCATGGACCGGTACCCCCACCGACCTAAATGCATCACGTATAAATGGTCAAGATACCATGCAACCACTGCCAGTGAGCTTGTCGACGTAATCTCGCATTCCCGGAGACTGCATGCACGGAGGCGTGGTGTTCGCGGTGTATCCTCAATTAAATTTGAAAAAATTTGATCACAGAATCATGGAAAGTCGAAATTCGTAGTCGTAATTAAAATCGGTGACCCGGTGTCTCCCATAGTCGGACTAGGACTTGAGAATTGGAGAATCATGAAGTGCGATTCGAGTAGTTGGTTCGCGATCACGTGTTCCATTCTGTTGGTGATTTTCTATAATTTCCCGGAGAGAACACGGGCCGAGACTTTCGATAACAGGACGTTCGTTGAAAAATGTCTCGCGGATTGCGACTCGCAGAAGGACTTCACCACCTGCGGAAAGTACAGACTAGCCAGGTGGCTGGAAGACGTAGCGAGGGAGAAGGTAGGGGGTCGAATTTTTAAATTCTTAACGATTACACAAGGTTTCGGGTCCGTAAGAATCCGTTTCACGTACTATAATAATTCAAAATGTGTTTCACTGAAATAAACCCGCGAGAGCGAGCAAATCTTTTCCGTAAACTGCTTTGTCCTCGATGGGAGTATCCGTGCGCGGTGCGTGTAGCTAACTGAAACTCAGCGTGACGAATTCCCTCGACGTACTGTCATTATCATCCTCGCGTTCGTGTTGCTAATATCCGCGTCACTTTCCTAAGCTTTTACTTTTTAATCAGGATAAATCGCACTCCCCTTTCGCCGTTCTTTCATTCAATGAAATCTATCGTCAGGAATTCAATTACGGACCGATTCGCATAGTGAGGATCCCCTCGATGGTTCACCAGCCGGTGCTTCCGAAATTGCCTCAGCTGCGGGTGTTCAAGAGCGGCGCGATCGAAACCTTGAACTTTCTCAGGGACATATTCGAGGACTTAATAACCAAACGTGCTCTCGTCTACACCGTCGAGAATCCTGTCTCGTCGAGGAGTTTCGGAACCGTGCCCATGGTCATGGACGAGGACGAGTTCACTCAACTGCAAACCAGAAAAAAGCCCGATGGTAATTCGCTAAATCTAACAACTCAACAAATAGCTTGAGTCTAATAAAATTTTCTATGAACAGATGAATGGAGAATTTTCAAGAAGAAGAAATCCTTGATCATTCCCATTCTGATCCTCCTAAATCTGTTGAAGTTGAAACTATTACTCTTGCCAATTTTCCTCGGTGTCCACTTCATCAAGAAGCTGTTGGTTCTCGGTTCGCTCGTTTTACCTTCTATATTGGCTCACCTGAAGATCTGCAAGGTGCCGCAACCCCATCAGCAACCTCAGCCCCATCATATGTGGGCCACGGCCGCCGAGGCACCCGTCGACTACCCGTCGACAGGTACGATAAACCAGAACACGAACGTTACGCTTCGTTATTTCGGAAATTACGAAAATTACGTTAGTTACGAAACGCGATCGTAGAGATGAGCAAGCGACCGTGAAATATCGATCGAGAACCTTGAATCCGTTGCACGATGATGTGAAATGTCAGCGTCGATCGACTACAGTTACGCAACGAGAAATTGATATTTCGAGCACGACGATTCGTCGATGATAATAGTTTCAGTAATAGTACATTATACGAGGCACGGATAGTTTTTAACGTCACTCGAATGAAACGGGCACGATAGACTGCTCGCGTCGACCATCGTTTTGGTAGTTCCAATTACGTAATTCTAAATAATTTCGGATTTCAGGATACGGTCAGCAGGACGAAGCCTGGGCTCACAGGAACGATTATCACGCTGGCCTGCCTTACATGAACTACTACGGCTACCGTAACCCCTATGGATAATGCCAACGACCAAGACAGACGGCGAAACAAATTTTCGTACTTGCCATCGCGGTTAAACAGAGGAACGACGATTGTGCTCTGTTTATTTTCCTCTCTAGAAAATTAGCAACTTTCGCACCTAGCAGCTCTCTTATCCCGTTTCCTACTTGACCGCCCTAATCCTAAGGAGAACACGGCGACGAAAGTTCGAGGCCATGCCTCGTTTAGTGATCATTATCGCGAGAAACGACGATCGACGATCACCGTTAGAATATTGGTAAACGAGGCGACGCGACGCGTGCATCGAAAGTCACGAGCGTTCGACGCTTTTGAATCGCGCATCGCTAGCGTTCGCGGCACGCGATCCTCGGACGTCGTTCGTGTCGGATATTCTCGCATATACGCGAGTGTACCGTACATCCGTCGGAATTCCCGAACAAGAGCGCCTCGCGTGATGTCAACGCCGGTCATTTCCGGGACGATAATAGCGGAGATCGCGAAACGAGCATGCGGCTCATTGCCTCGAGAACAAACGACTGATCGTCGATCGTAGCCGTTTATAGAGAATTTTTAAAGTTCATAGAGAATGTTTTAAATGCAGCGAATGTAGGTAGATCGGGAAATACCTTATATTGGAATTATAAGGGTGGTTGTAATTTGCACGGTTTCAAAATGCGCGAGCTATTATTTAAGCAGCATGCAGATTCGTGGGCTTGAGAAAATGAAGATAAGAACAGGTTTCTTATTCGCGAAGAAATAACTATGTACGTGGTTATTGTGCCTTACTATAATTTCGACATGAGACAGTGACTTCTGACTCCGAGCTCTGAGCTCGGAAAACAGTAAACGGTAAGAGTTCGTCTTGTCTCGAATTTTGCATACCGTGTATCTACTGACTAATCAATAAATCATTTTTTGTACCATGATTAAAAACAAATCATTTCCCTTCACGACTTGCCAGTTCTTTTCACTGGTATCACTCTTCGAATCGAATTCATCGTAACCGGCGCAGCAGCGGTCAAGGTCGATCGATTGGAAACTGGAAGAGGCGCGGCTGACTCTGACGCAAATGACCTACTGACAGATTTGGGTGGGCGCACCGGCGGGGCGGGGAGTGGCGCGGCGTAACGCGCGTTTCTCTATACGAAATATATTCTATGTACGTGTGCGGTGAATGCCACAACGATTCTGATAACCCACACGCAGCCAGAATCGGTAGACCGTTATCGAACCCGGACGAGTTCCTGGAGAACGTGAGGTGATTGCCTTCGTCCCAAACGGGGCGAACTCTTCCTTATCCGAATATTCTTGTTTTCACTAATGAATATTCTCTTCTTAAAGTACTTCATTACGTATGTACGTCTTTCTACAAAAATCTGAAAATAGGACTAGGCTTGTATTTATTCATAACAGAGAACAAAGCTTGTCTCTCCCTAAAGATTGTAAGTGGCTGACAATGAGATAACCATCGGGGATGCGCAGATTAGTCTCTGACTTACTGTAGACGCACGCGTTGCGATGATAACGACCGGGAAAATGGAATATGCGTTACGGATGCAAATGGGTTAACCATCCACCGTGCTCAATGACAATGATCAGGGGCAGAACGATCGGCGCGAGACGTAGCCGACACGCAGCCTACGACCGCCATAATTCAACCGTTACGTTTGAACGTTAGAACGGGTCGCGAACGCAGCATTAACATAACGGCATACCGCGATGCGTATTCCCGATGCTCGATATATTTCGCGTTTCGTATCGATCCCTAAATCGATAAACCAAGACGGATGTTCAAGGTTCAAACTTGCTCGAATTTGTCGAGACGCATGTCTAAATATGTAGAATATGTACGTTTAAAACGAATTGCAAAATGCTATCAGGATGGTCCAAGTAAAAAGAGATGATCAGTTCTGATACAGGATACTTTGGCAGGAAAGGAATTAAATCGTAATTACTTGAAATGGGAACTCTTACCAGGAATAGAATTGCACCTGGAACATTGTTACAGCATAAGAAGTACTCCAATTTTTTTTAAGGGTACGCTTATGGAAGATTTACGTGCGTATTGCTACACAGAAGACCGCAGGCTACGATGGCGCACTTTCTAAAACCAGTCAGCTTCGCTCTCATTTTTTGGAGCTTCTTCTCTCGGATCCAGGTGCTAATTTTGCTTCGAGGCGGATAAACAGATAACTATTTTCCGCAACCTAAATGTATCATTGACCTAATGATAACGAGATTCTTCCTTGAGTCGTGTTTATCTTGTTATCTCGATCACATTTTAGAATCCCTTGAATTATTCATTTTCTGTCTGTTATTCATTAATTGGAGATTCGTCGTAAGGTTAGTGGCCCGCCTAAATTTCCAGTTCTAAGAAACTGGAGAGAGTCTATAAAATATATCCAGTCTTGAAGTCCACTACTAATCATTTGTATTTCGGGTATTAATGTATGCTGGAAAAATTCTCGGAATTTCTACAACTAAAGCCAGCCATCGTTGATCCCACGTTACGATTTGTCAGCCTGATCGCGTGTCGAATCGAATTTTCCTTCGGCGCAGGTGAAATGTCGAGGTGACACGAGGATTTCGTGGAATCACCGAACCGTCCGTGAATTTGGGACGCAGCGACCAGTGAAATCGGCCCGTAAAAGAGTACGATGCTCTCTCAGGCTGGTGACCACTCCGCCTCTTCGGACACTCTTCTTCTCCCATGATTAACGTCGTTAGTTAACATTGACATTTGTCTATGGGAGTAGAAGTGGAGAGGCTGATCCGCGACGGGGAAGACGCTCGCGGCTTCCGCTTGTCCCAGCGGCGCCTTGCCTTATCTGCTTGCTCCCCGCGCGATCTTTTCGACAGGAAATAAAAGTCGAAACCGGACTAGCGGCCTACTTGGATGACCACTTGAAAATATCTTTCGATATTCATGTCGGCGGTGTAACGACACTCGACACGCACGCATACGGAGCTCGAACGATTTTCCATCCTCTGTTTGCCTAATTGTCTATTGTCGCGAATTCGGTTAGGAAATTCTCTTCGCACCTGACGAACGCTACGCTCATACAAGTGGCTCATTTACGTTTCTATACATCGCGTGCTTTCAATAGTCTTCAGAGTCTATGTAAATGGTTAAGTACATAGATACATAGATATCATAGACTAATGTCAGGGAATAAATAGGTATTATTACTATTACGCAAGTATGAAAGTGTTCGATGCACCAAATGCTTGAAAGAGTGAGAAGAGGAGGGGTAGAAGATCGAGCGCCATCAATCGAAATTCCAACCGGTGAAATCGGTTCGACGATCGTTGGATCCACGCCGAATTCGTATCAGAGGACGACGACCGGCATGCGTGGAGTCGCGTCGGTATCACGGTGCCACCGTGAAGAGAGAAGAGATGCGTTCGCCGACCGGCGGGAGCGGAACCGACGAATGGACGAACGTGGAAGAGAGGAAAGGTGGAAAGGCACGGACAGAGGGACGGACAAACGGATGGCCGGGTAACCCAGATTGGATCAGTCCAGCCGATCCTACGAAGACTCGCCAGTATCGAGTCGACCGTCGTGCACGATTCCAGCGTTTCGACTCTTCTTTCCCTACAAATCGTTCATCCGAGTTTCAGCAACTGTACTGTTCTAAAGATTTCTATACGTTTAGAAAGGAAGAGAGTCGGAGATCGAGCGAGATCACAGTGGTCGATGTCATCTACATGTCGTGACAGTGAGTAGACAGTGTGAATTGTTGAAAATTTTGTTCAACCGGATCTCGAGTAACAAAAAGATCGCTGAAATTGTTTGCAATTGATGAACGTCTCGACGACGTCGCGTGCTTTCCGGCGTTTCTGGATCGGACGGGTCCCCACCCTTCATTCAGAGATCCGTTGTACGAGGTCGTGTTGCTTTTATTATTTCAGGTGACACTGACCGACCGTCACGGATCGAGATGCATTTATCTTTCGGTAACCGTAGTTAGCTAAGAGAAAGAGAGCGAGAGACAGAGACAGAGGGAAAGCAAGAGGAGGAATCGAGAGGCCGTGACCGTGAGGAGTTCACAGACAGGAAAGATGGGCGAATCGAGAGGCGGTGCGATCTTGGTGATGTTGACGGTCGCGTGGCTGTGGCCGCGAACGGCGGTCGGGGTCAAGAACCACGTGGCGGCCTTGAACGAGACCAGTCGCCGAACGACGCTGGTAGACTCGATAGAGAACGAGGTATCGTTCACCGGTGAGGAAGAGTTACTGGGGCAACAGCATCCGCATGATATGCCGGACAAACCGAGCAAACTCGACATGAACATCAATCAAATGATACAGACGGATGACAAGTCTGAGTACCAAATCGAAGCGACGCAAATGGAAAATGCGACAGAGTCTCCTTTGGGAACGATCGTGTGCCAGGATGACGAGAAGGATGGACCCTGCTTCGGAAAGGACATGTCCGATCTGTTGGACACGCTGTCTAGGATCGACGAGTACAACGTGACCGACACGGTGCAGATCGTAAGAAAGCAGGAGGTCGTCGCTAGGAGGAACGAAAAAGGTAACGACGTGCGACCGGACTCAAGCCTACTCGATAAATTCCGGCGGTACGCCAGAGAACACGTAGTAAAGATACGTCTGAGCCAGGATTTAATACCCGGTAGAAAAGCTAGAACCTTCTTCAACGGTGAGTCCACGGGAGAGGACGTGTTCGTGTCACGCTTTCATAATAATCGCGCGGCTCGCGCGTTTCGCCGATCCTATAGTCAGAGATCACGATTTCTAACGTGTTTTCAAACGTCTATATTTCTTAATAATCGCAAGAAATTTTAAGTTTATGAATATTCAGGATGTACGTTGGAAATTGTTCGACGCTGGATTCGTGTATTTAAATACACGTGAAATAGAGATCTCTACTGTGGACGGGGTTGCACGCTGACCGATCGCGATCGCTTCTCGCTGTGTGTTTTGTACTCGCATCGCCTGGAAGCGTGCTCGAGCTGCTGGAACTGGGCCTCGATTATAGTTGCGATGAAAGGCGCGTATATCTTGCTCTTGAAAACTCCTTTTACTTAGCGGATCAGGACGATGTCCGAGATAGTAGGCGCGGTTTTTTAACGAAACAAGAAACACGAGTGCGAAGAGTTGGCAGCTAGAGAGAACTACTTTCCTTCGGTTGAATCCGAAGAAATCAGGTTCGCTCCAAGTGGATTAATACTGTAATCGAGGCCCGATCACGCTTTTTGGAAAGTAAAATCGGGAAGAAAGGTGCACGAACAATCGCGTAACGAATTTTTCACCCATCACCAATTTGGCTATCGCTCAAAATTGCTAAAAAACATTTGGCAGCTTACTCACCGCTGATTGACAGAATTTAAACGAAGCATCGGCAATCACCATTTGAAATTGGTTTTACCACATGCATATTTTCAGCGAGTTCGTATCGTCTGCCGATTTGGAGTAACTCTGACGATGAGGAGAGGCGAGAGATAAAGAGAGAGAATGAGAGATATGTGTAATATGCTGGCAGCAGCATGGCTTACAGGACTAACCGCAAGGCTTTAATTCGCTGGTACTTTTGCTTTCAGCCATCTTTCAGGGAAAGAGTACCTTTTTAACAGGATTCGGACTTGGTTTTCTAGCGTTTGGCCTGAAGAAGCTGCTGCTACCTCTCATTTTCGGTGTCCAGATCATTAAAAGTGTCCTCCTGGCACTTTTCCTACCCAGCATCATCGGAAGTATCGGTAATATCGTCGGCAAAGGTACGTGTCAACTCTAAATTCAATATAATATAAATATGCACAATTGTAAAACAATTATTCAAAACCTTGAATAATCCGACATGCAAGAATAAACATTGATCGATTGTTTCAGCAGGAGTCTCGTCGTTCGCACAGACGTCGCACACCACCGCCCAGCCGGAAGAGAACTTCGACTTCAAAGACAATTCTCTGTCCGATCTGTACAACGACGACTACTTAACGCGGCAGCCTGTAGGAACGTTGCCTGCCTCCGCGATGTACGACGAGAGTATGATGCAGTCCCAGAAGAGTCCCGAAATCGCATCGAGGTACTCGTACGTCGATCACAAATTAACTCACGCGAATGCTGTTGCCGATCGTTATTACACCAGGCACGTGGCTGCCCATGGACTCCACAAGAAACAAGATTTCAAGGTGATGTCTAAATTATCTCCAAAGACCACTCGAATATTCTCATGATATCTAATGATAATCTTGTTCACAGGTGTTTCACGAAATTCCAACGAGTTCACTGCTGTTAACAAACTACGACCCCTTCTACTCGCCCCTATTGTCCCGGTTAGACGCGGTGTTCTCTCGTTTAGGACACACGACGGAAGGTTGCAGGGAGTACGCGGTGTGCGCGATGTATCGGAGCCCGGCGAGGTACGCCCCGTACTCGAATCTGGTTTCAGCGCAGCTGTCGAGGGAGCTGAACGAGCTGAGAAGACCCAGCAGTGACAATCCCGACGTGCTGAGGTTCTTCCGGTACATGAAGGCCGCGAAGGACGGGCAGGACGGCGTGAAATGCGAGGACGCGTACGTGAACTGCGCGACCGCGCGGGAGGATCAGACTCTGCGCCAGAATCAGGCGATGCTGGCCACGTACCAGGACATCGACAAACTCGTCCACGCGAGAAAGTTGTAAGAAACAGCGAGGATTTCATCCTGAGACTGTCTGTGAAAGTTCGAGCTATTCGGAATCGGAGACTTCGTGTGTGTGTTTTTACCGGATTCGAGTGAAGCGATTCACTGACTATGTATAAGTACTCGGATTATGCAGGTACGAGGAATGCAAGATTTCTGAAGTCCAGCAAACTGTTTTTCGGGAGTTTCGACGACTGATCCGATCACGGTTCACTTATGGCGAATGTTCGTTTCGCTACTTCGGTGTATAGTATGTAACAAAAGAAACGCTTTTTAGAGATCTCAGAATCAGGAAGATTCGTCAAACGTGAATCCGATACGGTATGACATACGTAGAGATTCCGCGTGGAATGCGAAGTGTCTTCCTATACATGCGTCGAAGTCTCCGCGGATCAAAGGTACTCGCCGCAAGCGTGGAGATTCCAATGCACGCATAGGACGGAACCTCGGACTCGCTTGTGCAGCTTGAAGCTACCTTCCCATGCGGGAATTGGAGTCTCCGCGCATTCAACTCACTTCGCATCCAAGTCTTTGCGGCGCAGCGTTGCGCTAAGCCTCGTTACATAAATTTTCAGGTTCCTTGCTATTCAGAGTATTCGGACGGGCTCAAAGTCCGCTGGCTCTGTATCCTCGTACCGCATTCCTTCGTACCGAAATAATTATGTCTGTTTAGTGGGCCGAGTGAGATGAGAGACAATAATGAAACGCGGAACGATTCCGGCCTGTTGTGCGACGGCCAGAAGATTAAAAGAGAAACGGATAATTATAATTCGTAGCTTTGGCTGCGCTAACGGTACACGAGAGCTGTATTCACGTAGACGCTCAAAATACTCTTGCGCAATAACCGACTTACTGTCGATAAATGTAGGTCTCACGAATTATTCGTGGCTACAGGCACGCATAACTCAACGATGATTGTGTACTTGGGCTCACAATTTTAGACTCGACTTCACTCGATCCTCTGCCATCGACTCGTAATGTTTCAAACTCCCTCAGAATTTAAACTCATGTTTGAAGTACAGCAAGTTGGCTGTTCGTCACGCGGACATCTTGAGATGTTTTGGAACGTTAAGTATGGCAAAGAAAATCATTGCATCGTGATTTATACGTACGAAATACGTATATCGTCGACGCTTTGAGTTTCCCCGAACGAACACTGATTTAGCGATTTAATTTCAACGACATGGCGAATAATCGCACAACGCGGGACTTGGGAGTGCGACACTTTTTTCAATTTAAGCGTCGCCCCATGCTCCGCGAGCTTCAACTTATTTATTTATTGTCCCGAAAACTACCGCGGCTGTTAATTTATTAATATATCCGATTGCGCGAGGCGAGACGCTCTCGCGGCAATTATCGTCTAATTTTAATTTATTTATTAGTGTCAGACAGATGACCTATTGCCAGTCGACGCAGTTCTTGTACAGTGCGCCAAATAAAACGCTGTGAACGCGACCTTTTCTCCCTCTTATGAAACACGCTCGAAGATGTTAAACTGTAATAACTAGAAACTTGTTATTCCGGCTACGGTGAAATTTCGTTTTCGAAACGAAAAGATGTTTTACTCGTTGTTCCAAGAAAGGGCCGCCTCGCCTACACTTATGCGGAATAGACGCGTGTTGGACGCGAGAGAAAACGAAAGGAGTAGGCCGCGATGACGCGATGACGCACGCTCGATCGTCCAGATTACGAAGGAAAGTCCGACATACTCAGCCACGTTCGTCGCTCCTGTTCGTCCGTCTTTGTTCAAAACTACCTGGTTCCGGTCCTATGTCCGGCTGGCTACTTTCACTCTCGATTTTTACGCATCTTTTTCTCCACGAATCCTCGCTTCCCCCCTCGCTCCACCCGCTACGAACACCGCTTCGGTCATGTCGTATAAATACAGATGGAACGATCGAGCGGATGCGGCGCATTACGCCGAGTTCATTCCCTCGGTGCTATTCCCCTTGATTCTCATCCGGATCCCAATAAGAAGGTGAGAATTATTAGTTAGTCCATTTATCAGTGAACTTCTGTTGCTGAAACAATTAATTCAGTGAATGAAAAATGATTTCTATTGATATCACGTACAATTGGAACATCTAAGTATTTAAATTCAACAAGTAGACAAGCTTGAACTCTTAGGGTTTGCGAAGTAATTAAAAAACGATTGAAACATAGTAAAAATTGACTTTAAAGAAGTGTAGGATTTTCGTAATCGTTGAACAAGTAAATATTGTAATTGGATTGAAACGGAAAATTCGTGGTTCACTGATCGAAGAGCGTGCGTGATCGGCGTTACGAACTCCATGGACGCGCGACCGGAATACAAGGTTACGGAGACCCGGTTCTTTTGAACCCGGACGCTCGATTGGTCCGTCCAGTTAACGGCACTTGGGAATCCACCGCGGCGGTTATGATCGAACGTTGGTCTCTGTCAGAGACCGCTCGAGCACGGTTAGTGAATCACGATACGGCGCCGTTTTTTCCATACGAATTGTGAAACGAAATGTGGAATCCCGTCACTTGACGGAGTCTTATCGGCACGGGTAAGAGTCAGTCGAACATCTTCACCTTTCTCTCTTTTCCTTTCTCCGGCAGTAAGTGCTCTGATACAGCTGCTTTTGACAGAACGCGAAACGGGACTTTTGATATCAGTCGATAACGGTTCGTTTGGTTTCGATTCTTTCCTTGTTTTACCTCGTTCAGAAGGATATTGTTTAAATAATGTTAACGAAGCGACGGTGTCGATAATGCAACGTGACTGCAGGTGCAACCAGAGCCACCAGAGTGATAAGCCATGCAGGTAGTGCAATCGTTGGTAACCCACTGTCTGGTGCTGTCGCTGGTGCAGTTGGTACCTTGCTTCTCGGTCACCTTCGAGGATGGAAGTTCCGGTGAACCAGTCGAGGCCCGCGGTAAGACATTTCAAATTCAAACTTGCCACTCGAACAGTCAATGTTCTGTAATGATGTTTCACGCATGGTTTACAATTACAGAGAGTCAGGTACTGCAACCAGTGCAGGAATCGGCGAACTTCAATAAAACCCGTCAGGGGAAAGGACTTTTCGACTGGATCGGTTTAGGCACAGGGCGGAATGTAGATCCGTACATGGCGAAAACGAACCAGGGCTGTCTGAACGGTGATCTGGCGGAATGTTTCAAGTCCCAGGCTTTGAGTTACTTCTCCGACTTCTTCGACCACCCTCGCTACGATTTGAACGATCACGTAAAAGTCGTCAGAATGTCTAGGGACATCGTGCAGGAAGTGAATCGTCAGCCGTACGAGTATTCCAGCGAAGCGAGGTATGACTCGTTCTGTCTCCGACCAACTGTGTTTTTATCATCAATATTATAAATATTTTTTATCGACTGAACCTCTGTCATAGGTCCAGTGACTCCGAATGGGATCAGCTGATGAAATTCGCCCTGAGAAAGGCAGAGAAGTTTGTAAAAACCGTTGCCATTGAACTTCACATCCCATCGGAAGAAGCTGGAGAGAATCAAGTCTACGCTCCTCGGTTTTTAGACGAAATCGCTGACGAGATCGACACGCTCGAAGATAAAAAAGATACTCTCTTCTGTACGCGATATATTTTCAATAATATTTTCAGTCTATAGCATGACAGTGAAACATTATCATTTCTTTCAATAGCTCGCCATCAACTGAAGAGGCTTCTTATACCAATGCTGATAGTATTGAAGCTGTTCAAGCTGAAATTGCTTCTGTTCCTGCCACTGATTTTGGGTCTAGCTTCATTCAAGAAATTCCTCGGTTTCCTGGCAATCGTCATCCCTGGTCTGATCGGCTTTTTCAAACTGTACAAACCATTGACGCAGAATTATCATCCACCGGTGTACAGTCAAAGCGGCATCGCTTATCCATATTACAAGGAAAACAGTTATCCCTATGAACAGGACATTCATCACGGATCTGAATACGCAGGAGGCTATAACAGGGATGTGTCCTTCGGGCAGGACCTTGCTTATCGAGGCTATCAAGAGTACAAATCGTAAATCTTAGTTCGTTTCAATTTTATTAGCTCTCTTTTATTTTAAGGATATAAAACTATACATTGTATTCATATTTCTATAGTCTGTCGTCGTATCAGAATCCTGAAGCTTGAGAAGTATTTGGAACATTTTCACATTTTGGGATTCTGTATGTAAAATAAGTGCTCTCTTCGTACATTTTCATTCATCGAAATGAGATAAATCTTTACATAAGCATAATTTTTTGCATAGTTACCTCTGTCATAGGTCCAGTGACTCCGAATGGGATCAGCTGATGAAATTCGCCCTGAGAAAGGCAGAGAAGTTTGTAAAAACCGTTGCCATTGAACTTCACATCCCATCGGAAGAAGCTGGAGAGAATCAAGTCTACGCTCCTCGGTTTTTAGACGAAATCGCTGACGAGATCGACACGCTCGAAGATAAAAAAGATACTCTCTTCTGTACGCGATATATTTTCAATAATATTTTCAGTCTATAGCATGACAGTGAAACATTATCATTTCTTTCAATAGCTCGCCATCAACTGAAGAGGCTTCTTATACCAATGCTGATAGTATTGAAGCTGTTCAAGCTGAAATTGCTTCTGTTCCTGCCACTGATTTTGGGTCTAGCTTCATTCAAGAAATTCCTCGGTTTCCTGGCAATCGTCATCCCTGGTCTGATCGGCTTTTTCAAACTGTACAAACCATTGACGCAGAATTATCATCCACCGGTGTACAGTCAAAGCGGCATCGCTTATCCATATTACAAGGAAAACAGTTATCCCTATGAACAGGACATTCATCACGGATCTGAATACGCAGGAGGCTATAACAGGGATGTGTCCTTCGGGCAGGACCTTGCTTATCGAGGCTATCAAGAGTACAAATCGTAAATCTTAGTTCGTTTCAATTTTATTAGCTCTCTTTTATTTTAAGGATATAAAACTATACATTGTATTCATATTTCTATAGTCTGTCGTCGTATCAGAATCCTGAAGCTTGAGAAGTATTTGGAACATTTTCACATTTTGGGATTCTGTATGTAAAATAAGTGCTCTCTTCGTACATTTTCATTCATCGAAATGAGATAAATCTTTACATAAGCATAATTTTTTGCATAGTTAAATTATGTATATATTATATTTTTATGTGTGCGTGTAGATAATGATTTGTGGAGTTTTTAGTATATATGAATCTCCTGGTACGTTTGCTATGATTAATTTATTTTGTAATGTATAAATATTTCAGAATTTTAAGTTTACGTGTCAAATCGTCTTTTCCTTTTTCACCCTTTGCCCTACAACCCATGTCTCATTACTAGCAAAATGAACGAACTTTCACAGGATTTCAATTACATCATCTACGCTTTCGTATCAATATACTTTTTTTTAGCGATTATCTAATGAAACTGAAACTGGATTGACGGAGAAGAGAATGCGATAACTACCTACGATTTCATCTTCATAAGTAGAACACAGAAAAACATAATCGATGCAAAACCTAAAAGAGATGTAAAATATAAATCTCTTTTGATTTTGTTATATTATTAAAGACAGCGTTCAAGATTTGATGAATTATTTTCTTTTTATTCATCGTCCAAATGCTAAAACTCCGCAGTTATTTTATTGGACAATTAGATATTTTGCTGTATTGAATTATGGAATATGGAAAAGTCGAAAGCAGTTTTCTGTATAAATATTTCAGCTCTGTTGATTATTTTTCTACATTTCTCTCACTTGTCATCGTTTCCAAACCGAAAGTCAAGGAAAAATGGGGTCAATATGTGCTGTAAATACCTGAAACGTTCGAGGCATTGATTATCCTTCAAATCGCTCGCATAAGTCAAATAAAATATTATCCTTATAATATCAATTTCCAATACTTGAGACTAACTCCGTTACTTCTAAAAGAGGCAGCAAGATTAGCAATTTAAATTCGCGACGTCAATTTCTACGTTAACGGAATTTCTGTCATTGATTCTTTTGTAAAACTATTAGTGGAAAGCCAGTAGATTTCCATTGATCAAACAACTAGCCTCTTAGGGATGAGTGTCTACATTTTCCGCGTAGATTTTAGATAGTCGTTCTCGCGATACCCCCTTTCTTCGCGCGACGCTCGACGTTCCGAGCGGAATTGGCATCGCGTGAAAATCTCGTCGCGAGGATCAACCGTGCTGCTCCGTGTCTCGTCCGCCAGGTGCAGGCAAGGAGACCAGCAACCGGTTCGACGTAATTCTCACTCGCGATCCAGAGAATCCGATGAAACGGACCCGTTGACCAAGTGACCTCATTCGGCTTAAACACAGGAAGTCGTTGCCAGTGTACGGAAAACGCAGAAACAATTTGTAACATCGAGTCTCACAACAAAATGTTGCACGCGAATTAAGTACACGACTAATTCCTATAATAGAGACGAGCCTCGCCGTTTATGAATTTTAACGATAGCGACAGGTACTAATTATTCTGCAAAATATAATTTAAGGTTGCGGCAACGTCTCACAGCCGTGCGCTGGTTCTTTTGGTTAAGAAGCGGGGCAAACACGTTCCTAGTCGCGCGACTGTCTAAACGCGCGAAATCGGTCGTAGTTTCACTTTTAAACAAGCAGGGGCGGCCATTAACGGAGAGAGGCGACGGCTCGCGGCATACTCGATCGATATTAACTGTTCGGAATGAAGGTCGCTGATGGCCTTGATATGGATTCGACTTGGACGGGGCGATGTTTCGTGCCGCGCAACGAAACTGCGCTAAATCGCCGCGCCGATAGGAACGCGAATGCGAACGGTATCGCGCGAAGGGAAAAAAAATGAGGGAACAAGGTTACCCAGGAGAAAGTTAATGAAACAGGTAGGTAGGTAGGTAGGTAGGTAGGTAGATATCAGAGGCGTTCGAGTAATGCAAATCGAGGAATCCGCACGTGGCCGTTTTGATTTTGCCGTTTTTGGTTTCACGCTCTAACGGATGACAAGCTCAATTTCTATCGGTACAGTGTATTAGACGGAGAACGGTTCGTGTTGCGTTATACACGCCACTCGCATACACGTACGTCCGAGCTAGATGAATGGAAATCAAGTATGAAAGCTGCATGATATGTCTCCTCTTCTGGTCCATTAGTTAAGTTTCTAATAGACGGGATGTATGACGGAATTTAGTATAGTAAATAAACGAGATGCAGATGCACCGATAGAAAGCTGAATATACACTCGTTTGTATTCAGAATGCCGTAACAGGTATTCGTGTTGGGCAAACAAACAAAATCGTTAATTAATGTTACTTCGCATCGCGCCGATGGAATCCTAATCCAGATTCTAATGTAATCGGGACGTAAGCATACAATCTAGTTACGCTGCAACTTGTATTTTCAATATCAATGCATCTGCCATCGTTCCGTTGCAAGGATTCAAGATCCTCGTTGAAATTAGCGAATGTCATGCGCGTTGTTTAGAGGATGACTCGCTGGCGAATCGGAATTCGACATAACGGTCCCGCGTATCGTGCCAAAACACCTTCCGGGCACCGTGAGATCAAGCCAGGGGTCGAATAATCGGTTACCGTATACGATTCCGAGGCGGCATACTTTTCCTTGTTTTTTCAGCGCTGGACGCCCGTTTTGCCGATCCCGGGCTTTCGCCTCGTCGCGACTGGTTTAGGTCTCCGCTCGTTTCGGACGGCGTGTCCGAATTTTCAGCGGACCGCGGCGTCCGACAGAAAAAATTGGAACGACTGCGCTACCCTAGGTAGGTAGGTAGGTAGGTAGGTAGATATCAGAGGCGTTCGAGTAATGCAAATCGAGGAATCCGCACGTGGCCGTTTTGATTTTGCCGTTTTTGGTTTCACGCTCTAACGGATGACAAGCTCAATTTCTATCGGTACAGTGTATTAGACGGAGAACGGTTCGTGTTGCGTTATACACGCCACTCGCATACACGTACGTCCGAGCTAGATGAATGGAAATCAAGTATGAAAGCTGCATGATATGTCTCCTCTTCTGGTCCATTAGTTAAGTTTCTAATAGACGGGATGTATGACGGAATTTAGTATAGTAAATAAACGAGATGCAGATGCACCGATAGAAAGCTGAATATACACTCGTTTGTATTCAGAATGCCGTAACAGGTATTCGTGTTGGGCAAACAAACAAAATCGTTAATTAATGTTACTTCGCATCGCGCCGATGGAATCCTAATCCAGATTCTAATGTAATCGGGACGTAAGCATACAATCTAGTTACGCTGCAACTTGTATTTTCAATATCAATGCATCTGCCATCGTTCCGTTGCAAGGATTCAAGATCCTCGTTGAAATTAGCGAATGTCATGCGCGTTGTTTAGAGGATGACTCGCTGGCGAATCGGAATTCGACATAACGGTCCCGCGTATCGTGCCAAAACACCTTCCGGGCACCGTGAGATCAAGCCAGGGGTCGAATAATCGGTTACCGTATACGATTCCGAGGCGGCATACTTTTCCTTGTTTTTTCAGCGCTGGACGCCCGTTTTGCCGATCCCGGGCTTTCGCCTCGTCGCGACTGGTTTAGGTCTCCGCTCGTTTCGGACGGCGTGTCCGAATTTTCAGCGGACCGCGGCGTCCGACAGAAAAAATTGGAACGACTGCGCTACCCTTGCTACTCTAATTTAACGTCTTAAGAATAAATTATTTAGAATATATTTTAAATCTCGAGTGAAGAATGACGGACAAATATTGTTTCCAACCGTGGTTGCTCCGATCTCGATGATTCCACTCTGTCATTTCGACGTGACAATCTCAAAAACGACCTACTGTTCTCCAATCATTGGGGACGTGAATTCTAGTTCTCTTCTTCTACCGGCATTTCTGCGACTCGGTACATGAGATGGAATCGAATACTCTTTTCTTATAGGATTTAGATAGTCGGTTCCACGCGTGGAACAATTATTTCCTCATTAAACGTAGTACGAGAACAGATTCACGTCGGCATTGCGGCTTGGCTCGAACTTGGCACGCTTGGTCGCTCGCACGCCTTCTTTCTGGCGTAATTGTTCCTTGTTACGGCACGCGATATTTACTTTCTTTACGAGCGTACTATACAACCTGTGGCTCGTCGCTTCTTAGAGTAGAGGGTTTTTCACCTCGATTCGCGCCCTCCTACATACACGCTTCCACGCGAGTACCGTTCCTTTGTTTATTGTTCGTTTTTTGTCTGTAATTACAATTAAAACGAATCATGAGGAAAAGTCTGGAAAATGGGGAAGAGAAAAATGAGCGACTAGCAAATTATCTGAGTAAAGAGTCCGTGAAATGGTATCGATGAATCCTCCACGAGTTCTGATTTCAGTTGCCACTATCGGCTGTCTGTTCGACGTTATCCATTCTAGAAGTCATTTCCCGTAATAGACGAAGCCTTAAATTGAATTGAATCCTTCGAGTGTCGGCACGATCCATACTCAATTTGAAATCCAAATACAGCTTAGGCAATATTGAGTCGGAACAACCCTTGGCAACAAGTTCCTCGATGAGTCCTGATTAGGGGAGGGTTTTAATAGAAATAATGACGATTCGATTTATTCGCGTTGTGTACATGTAATTGCGAGTGGGCAGTCGTGGTGCGTGCTCCACATCCGTGACACGGTTCTCGCGGTGAGCCGTGAATGGTCCGGTCCGGTCCGGGAATCCGGTCGTCCGCGTGTGGGTAAAACGGCAACAAACCGTCCGTCGACGTAGACGGGGCGCAACACCGGGACAAGAGGCGTCCGGCAAAGGAGGAACCAGTTTCGCGGATCCCATCACCATCTCGAAGCATCTGGGGTCGGTGCTCTTTTCAGCACGAGATCGAGCACGCAGGATATCGTAGAAGGAGGCAACCGCGGCGAGCATCCCATCGCCACCACCACCGTAGCTATCACCATCCGCATCGGTACCGCCATCACCATGTGGTCCCGGACGACCAGTCAGCCAGCCGGGATCGTATCCAAGGCAAAAGTGGGCGCAAACCCGCCCCCGTGACCACGGCGTCGCAGCTTGCCTCGTGCACCAAGCGTATTCTCGCACCTTTGCCCGGAGATCTGGCTAAGTCGGTATATAAGCTGGCCGGGGCGAGATCGCGGGTTCAGAATACTCGCTACGCTCGATCCACGCATTGGGTGGTTACCAGGAACATCCGGCCGAGGGACGGATTACCTAAGACAGGAAGGAACAGAGCAACGGTTGCCGTCTTCCTCTTCGTACGCAGCTTCCGTTACCAGATTCAGAGGATTACAATTTCGGTGCGTAGCTCATTCGTACTAATTATTTGTGCAGATTTCGAAACAGTGTCAAGATTTATTTAATTACCATATTTAACCAAACGTCACAATTCTACTAAATTAAAAAAAACATTTAAGAATATTGTCTTTTTTTTAACTGACTTTTTTTATAATCTGTGTGAAGTTTCATGCGTGTTCGGAGTCAACCTCGTTTGATTGTACGACACAAGTGCAAGAATTATAATACAGATTCCAGGCGCCCACGTGCAGTTTTACGTTTGTACATTGAAGAATTCTTTCACAGAGACACGCAAGATGAAGACGATTCTGTTATTCCTGTCGATCTCGTGTCTGGCCATGTGCCTGGCGACCCCGTTAGAAAAGCTCGACAAGATAAGCGTCATCGAGCAGCAGTCCGTGACGCTAACGGATCGGGCCAAGTACGAGGAAGAGTTGCTGCGCAAATTGAACACCAAGTGCTCGCAGAACGACGTCAGTAGCTGCGTGATGCTGAAGCTGGTCACGTACATGAACAAGCTGCTGAAGAAGGCGTCGATCGAGCTGACCGACGACATCGAGATCAGAAAAACAAGCCAAGCGTCCGAGGAGGTGTTCACGTTCGAAGCTGGCAGGAGCAAAAACGACGAGTCCGAAGTGCTCGACCTCGTCGCGAGCAAGGTATACGCATTCGTCAAGTCGAGGAGCATCAAATGGAGGATTCTCCCCGAAGACGACGTCGTCGTGTCGGCTTCCGAGGACGAGAACGGTTCGCTGAATCTCGGCTTGTCTATCGAGAGGGCGGACAATGTTCCTGTACAGGAAGGTAGTTCTTTATTTGATTCAATTTTCAATTGAAAGTATAGGAAGGTCGAAAACCGGTCATAATTAATTCAATTAGCATCGACTCGGTTCCGTTCCTTCCTAACAATGAGTCACGACATTGTCAGCGAAAGGGACTTTTACTTAAGCTTTTCAAAGAAAAACAAAGGCCTCGCCTTTAGCCGGCCGTCGTTAGGTTGACATCCGCTTTTACTCTCCGTCACGTTCATCCGACTCGAACGCGAATCTCCCAAGCTTCGGTTACGCCTCGACAGACTTTACTACCCGAGAAAGTTCCCGCGTTCATATTTGCTCCCGAGGAAAGCGATATCAGGCGACATCTGTGTTTCAGGCCGCGGGAAGAAAAATAACAACATGGGCCCGTTGATCGCTGCCGCGGTGTTGAAACTGGGCTTGATCGGCGGTCTGGCTTTCAAAGCCCTCGCATTGCTGGTCGGCAAAGCTTTGCTGCTTTCAAAGATCGCTCTACTCCTGGCCGGTATAATCGGCCTGAAGAAACTGTTCTCGCATCAGAAGCACGTGACCTACGAGGTGGTCGCTCACCCTCATCACAGCTCCAGTCACGTGGAGCACGGCCACGGCGACAGCTACTCCAGCGGCTGGGCAAGGAGTTTCCACGGTCAAGGTCCCAGCGCCGGCCAGACCGATGCCCACGATTTGGCTTATTCGGCGCACGCAAAGTGATTCCGACGTGCAACAGCCTGTGAATTCAAGTTAATAGTACTTGACACCGGACACCGGATTCAACCGAGTCTTGCCAGCACGTTCATGGCATTAGGTTTACTGTCTTCCAGCCTTTTGTATCGTTAACCTTCCCTTTCCCACCTTCGTTTCTCGACTGCGGACTTGACCACTGACAGAGACTCGTGACGGAATATTATTTGTTAGTGACAGATTATATCCGAATGGCTACTGACGAAGAAATCCGCGAAATCGTATTCACGTTACGAAATCGAATCACGATCATAATCGACGTACGCACACGACGCTCCCAGCGACACAGAAAACAGCCAACGACGAACTAGAACAGACTGTTGCATCTCTCTCCCTCCCTGTCTCTCTCCGTTCTTCTATTTCTCTCTATTACCTATTTCTCGGTTAATTTATGATTAATTTATTGTCTGGCGACTGTCGCCACGCGAATTGTACAATAATGTTATGTTTTCCACTTGTATAAATAAATATTTATTGTGTTTTTTTAACGTGTGTTACTTCTTTTATTATAATCCTCAGTAAACAATTAATTCAAGCCTCTTTGATTTTGTAATAATGTTTCACTTATTGCCACGCTGCAGTGTACCACACGGGAAGATTAAATATTTATCCATGTGCAAAATAAATTGTATAAAAATAAAAGGGGCTCTTTTTCTATTTTGTGTAAAATTGTTTTTTCGTAATAGATGTAATTAGAATCGCAGGTTGATACGACGTTATCTGTAATTAGTAATGACAGATACGTATGTATCACTCGTTATCTATTATCGTCTTTTTATACGTCAGCTTCGGAATTGTAATTAAATTATAATGAAGAGTCTATAGGAAGATATTCAATTTCACAGAATGCACGATACATTAGAATCATTTATCACATCAGTTACTTTTCGATTAATTTTTGGTCCATTTACTATTTATAGTAATCATAGTCTTCTTCAATTAGAAGCTTGTTAATCGTTATAAGATTTCAAACGATGAGTCATTATCATCGATATCGAATAGATTGAATGATTTTGCAGAACGCGTTAAGTACAATTATCGATTGATGAAACATCTCTGTTAATTCGATACCAGAAAATATGCCGAATGTCTCGTATTCGCCGTGTCAACGTTCCTGCCGCTCCGGTTTGTGGAACTTAGCGGGACTTTGACGCTAGGTGTGACGATATCTAGGAATTTAATCCCATACGACCGCATTTGCTTCGGAAACATTTACGATCGAAGCTAATCAATTTCATTGCGAAATATTCTTTAACCTCCTATCGAATATCTCTCGTAATCAAATCACATTAATAGTGCATTTTGCATGTCGTATCTTCATTAAGAGATTCATATCTGAAACTATTTGAACGCACAGATGTTTATTTATGGATATTGCAGGAGTTTCGAACGATCGTATAATTACGAATAAACGATAAAAAGTGGGGTCGAGAATGTTTATTAAAAAACAAGTTTTGATATTTTAAAAATACAGGCAAACTTTCGGAGGTGTCTGTGATGACCGGAACGCGGGGAAAACTACTGGGAGCAGGAGATACGCGAAGCATCTTTCATTCAAATAAGCGTCCTCCTTTTCCCGTTACTCGCTTTCTCCTGTTCGATTGGGCAGGACGGATCGGCAAGAAGATGATCGTTTCGATAAGGGACACCCAGAGAGAAAGAATCTCTCTCGAGGCCCCCCGGGTGATCAACTTTCAATTTCGGGTACGACACCGCGACAGAGGAAGAGAGATCACTCGCTGACCCAATTCTTCCGATCCTGGTGAATCGGAAAAAATCGACACGTGCACCGGGCATGAAAACTGAACCACGCGAACGCGCTGTTCGATCGACCGGTACCGACTTCCAATATTTGTACGTCGTCGTACAGACGGATAACGGAGTTGTAAAAAGAGCCGAAGTAGAATTTCTCTCCGACCGGTTATTTTTCGTTCCCACGGTTGCGATACGTTTCTTCCCTGTTCGATCGAAAATTCGTGGCCTGGTTCCGTTTCGGATACTACTCGTCGGCGGATCCGAAGAGAAATTCGTCGCGGGAGGAGAAAGTATCCGGACACATCGATCGGATCTTCTCGTTATCGGACGCAGAAGGATGTTCACCGGCGGTAACGGTGTCGACGAGCCTGCGAACGATCGTACGCCCTGCCTCGACACACATTCGCGCCTAACCAAAGGAGAAAACCTTAGGCGCGTGGCGATAGATCCAACGTTCATCTATCTCCTCGCGGATGTGCGAAGAGAAACCGGAATCCGATTAATCTTCGAAACAGGGACGCGCGAATTTAGATTATTGGGAAAACGTATTACGTAGAACCGTTACTGCTCTAAGTAAAGAAGAAACTATTTATAAAATATATGTCCCAATTATTCAAATCAACTATTTAATAGCAATTAAATATTTATCCTTCGATAACCCTTTTCTACCCGAAAATATGTTCGTAAATGTTTACGAGTGAATTCTAAACCGTGGAGCGAAAATTGAATCCCTACCCGAAGGTGACGGAGCAAGCGGAAACGAGAAGGAACCGGGGAAGAGAATTCGTATGGCCGATCGTCGATCATCGATCGGGTTTCAAGGATACACGATCGTCCGTATAGCGTGGCGTCGTAGCGAGGAACGAGCGAACGGTTTCGAGCCCAGGCCTAGTTATACCTACCAGCCGGCGTATATGTATACCCGTATACATCGTCCGAAGCGGCTGGCGGAAGTGGAACAGAAGAGAAAGGTACGACGAGGAGAAATGAACTAGATTCGATCTGGTCCGGCAGCGTTTGATCGTAGCAGCCAGGCCCAATGATCGTTCCTCCCACTAGCCACTAAGACTTGGCCGCACGCTGGGACCGCGAAGGGTTTCACGGATGTTCCGTTTCGTTGAAGCGAGGACGCTTCCTGGATCTTCATGGTGGCTAGTATGTGGCGCGGACACGGCAAGCTCGCGTGGCTACGCGTTAATTGCATATTGAAAGACGAGCAGCACGTAGGTAGGCAGGTGCATATGCGCGGCGGCGGCGATTCGAAATCGGCCACGCTCTCTTCTGCTCCACTAAAGCGCGGAAAGAGGGAAAGGAAGCGGCGCAGCATCGAAGCGGGGTGTATCAGTCAGGTGCTGATATCCAGTGATCTAGAATAAAAGAACCATACGAAGCGGGATGAGAGGAGACGGTGGTCCGCGCCTGCTCGGGACGAGGACGGGGCGATTACAGGAGGTGGATACGCGAGCTAGTCGCGGCAGCGAGCGGCCGACCGCGGCGTAACGCTCTAAAACGCCTCGAAAATAAGAATTAAAAAGGAAAAAAGATGAAAAAAAAAAAGAGCAGGAGATCCTCCAGCGGTGAGAGAGGATCGGCCGAGCGGTCGAAAAATTGCAGCCTGATACGCGCGGTCGACAACACGAATAAGAGAATGGTCTAGGTGTAGCTGGCGGAGGCGATGCTCTCGTTGCTTTTTTCGTAGTACAATCACCGACCGGCACGTACAACTATATAAATGAGATTTGAACAACCTCTGGATGCACCACTCGGACCTCCGCCGTAGGTTCCGCAGGTTCGCTATACTTTTGCGTAACGAACGTCCATATATACACGCGAGTCGCGTATCGATCGAGCTTCTACAGTAATTCTGCGCGTATAATCTCTGTATCGGATCTGATTCGGAGATCGAACGATATGGATTGGTTCGGGACCGCGTACGGACGTAGCCAGCAACGTCGTTGCTTGGCACTGTGTCTCCTGCTCGTCTGCGTATTCGCGGAACGGGCCCACGCCGATGACATCGGCGACAAGGACGCTTGGGATGGATTATCGACCGGCTGCTCTAACGCGGATTCGAAGAACGTATCGGTATCTTGCTACGGCGTGAGGATCGTCAGGAAGATCGTGCAACAGTTGCTAGAGAAGTCCAGCAAGGAGCCCAATATTGAGATATTTGAGGGGGTCAGTTTGGTCGAAGTACCTGGAGCCGAGCCAACCAGAAAAGGAAGGTTCATGAAGGGATTCGGAAACATGGGAACACTGATGCAGTTTCTCGAGGGCAGAGAATTGAGAATCAAGCTGCCCAGCTTCCTACCGCAGAACATCGAGAGCGCTCTTGAAGCGAGCCTCCCCGTTGAAGAAGGTTGACAGAAGATCTGATAAGAAGCTCCTCCGAATTAAGGCTAGATTTCGAGTGTCTTGTTTTGGTTTCAGGTAGACGCGGCGGCGGCGGAGGCGGTTTGGGAGGTGGCGGCGGTGGCGGTGGAAAGAAGGGAGGCGGCGGAGGATACCTGATTTTGGCGCTTATGATGGGTAATATAAATAAATAAAATTCTCTTGTACTCGTTATTTACACGATAGAAATATTATTAATACATATTCTATATCAATTTACGTTGTTTAATTAATATTAAGTTGTATTAATGTTTGATCGATATGAATTTCAGGAAAGATGATGGCCGCGCTTGGATTCGGTGCTCTCGGTCTGCTTGCGATGAAGGCGTTGATGGTGTCCGCGTTGGCGCTAATGCTCTCGTTGATCGTGGCCGTGAAGAAGCTGGCCAGCGGTCACGACAGCGGCGGCGGCGGCCATCACGTGGTGTACGCGCAGGACGTCGGCCACCATCATTACCGGAAGAAGCGGTCCGTCGACGAGGAGGATCACGATCTCCCGTACAGAGGATACGCTCATCTGTTCGGCGATTCACGGGTATCTTGATTTCGCGCGATCGTTCCTCGTAGATCCTCTTCGAGACAGATCGCGTCAGAAGCGGCGCTGGATCGAAGAGAGTTTACGAGGAAACACGAGGTCAGGGACGAAGACAAGGACGAGGCGGACAACTGACAGTGACGACAATGACGATTGACGTTTTACCAGTGACGGATTTGGCGACAATCAACGAGTGACACAGTGTATTAGAGATTACTAGTGACGAGAAACGCGAGGAATTTTTCTTGTGAACGACGGACTGACTGACGGACGCTGGAGAAACCAAAGTACACGCACGCGTGCCCACATATATACACACACACACACATACACACACACATGCATTGTCGAGACGAGATCATGTTCTTATTTATTCCATTCTCTACGTATCATCCACTCTGCCTCTTTTGTACTATTTATTTATCAACAATGATATCGAATAAAAACGTTGGAATAATCGTTTACTAAAAATTCGTGCCTCATGTTCTCTCGTTCCATCGAGATAGACGTTCGCAGATTTTTGGCGCTGAATTGGTAATCGGGAACGACGGACCGGATACTGCGGACGATCGTTTGCTCGAGCGTTATAAGAAAATCCGGCCGATGGAAGTCGAAGTCGTATGGAAGAAAGTGTGCCAACGAGTCGGCAGCATACGTTGCATATTTCCTGCTGCAATGCTCGCGATTATGCTCTTCTAGCGATTCCTAATCGAACGGATTAACGAGCACAAAACCGGCAAGAAACATAACTCCCCTTGGCTCTCTCGCTTTGGCTCTTTCTTTCTCTCTCCTGGATCCGGATGTCCGCGTCGGTGGCACGATTATGGGTAAGCGTGCCTCGCAAGTAGTACGATGCGCGATTGTGCAAGAAATCGTGCAAAGTGAAACGTATTTCGAGGAACTTACATCTCTAAGAGCAGTGTATAGCGCGGTACATGTATTTCGATCGCCGTCCACATAAACAGCCGAGACTAATTTAATTAATGACGCATATGCGAGTCGAAGTTTAATTAACCTGACCGCAGAAACATGGGAATCGTTCCGGATGGTTCGCGTTTCGGAATGACATTTTTCATTAGCCTGCAAGAATTTTTCTCGCGCTTGGAGGATAGAAGCTTCGGGACGGTCGATTAGGGGAGTCAGCGGTAGTTTCACAGAGATGCCTCTTTCTATGCAGCTTCCCCACTCGACGCAACGAGCTTCTCCCACCCGGACGAGATTTTCTTTAAACTAGACCCGTTCTCCGCGTTCCTTTCTCACCTGGAGGGAGGAAAACTGTGGCGGGACGGCCGAGCCGAGAGACCCACTGGCCCACATTCTCCAACGCTTCGTTTTTTTACATTTTAAATGTCATAAAACGGGAGGAACGCCGAGGAAAGCGGCTCAGATCGCATCCTGATCGCTGAACACGCATAACGCAACCGTGTGATCACGGAAATGCATTTTTATATTTCATCCACCTTCCTTTCAGGCTCGTCGATTCGTCTATAATTTAGGATTCATAGAAAAAATTCTGAAACTGAATGTTTTCAAATTTATGCTTTGCTAACTCAATTAGACAATCTTTTATTAAATTAGAAACATGTGCATTTTCGAAGAATCGTCTGTCTGCTTTCGTTTTCTTTCACTTGAGAGTGTTTCTGCACCCCCACCCTCGACGATGCTTATCAAAATCGGCAATGTAATCCCCGCGCTCCTTTCGATTTCTTCCACCATCCGCTCGTCGCGGGGAACGGGACGATTAAAGTTTTATAGTGCCGTAAACTCGGGCGCGACTCCTCTGACGTCAGCCTGCACTGGTCAAGGGAAAACGAAAGTTGGGATTGCTTTCGTGAATGGACCGGCAAAAAGCAAAAACGGTTTTTCGAAAGCGGAGGTGGCGAAGATTCCTTTGAAACATCCAACGCCTCGCCCCCGGTTATTCACGGTTATTCTCTTGGTCTCGTCGTTAACGTTAACGCAACGGGTTTTCAGCACGGAAGAGCGGCCCGTTACATTCCACGTTTAATACCGATCGACGGGATTTGAAATTCAAATATCGACGGTGTCGACCGAATTTTTCGACCACGCGGAACCGTGAAACGCCGTAACCAGAAATTCCTAGCGCAGCGTGGCACAGAAGACGCAGATGAAGGTTTTGACCCATTGGGGTCTTTGCAAGTGGCACGATCGGTCGGCGCTCAACGGGTAATCTGAAGAATTAAGTATTCGGGTGTGATTGATTTACGAAGGAAGGTTGAAATTCTTCAGTCTCGAGAGGGGAAATTGATTTTGATTCAATGCTAATTCCCTGGCCCAGTTCTATCCTTTATCGTCGACGAATGCGAAAATGAGAAAGTTGAACGATCGTAGGACGACACTCGATGCTTAAGGATCGCTTTAAGTCAGTTTTACCTCGTGAATTCTTTTCGCCCAGGCACGTTTCTCGTGTGAGCACGTTATTACGACGTTATACCGATTCCTGCGACCATAAAACAATAGTTTAACAGGCGAACGATCCCATCGAATTCGTGTCGAGTGGGAATAAAAATGCGTCGCGAATCAGCAACGAGCGCCCGAAATCAGTGAGTGAGTCACTCGAATCGAAAAAAGTGGACTGAGCGAAATTCTTTGACACTTCCGCGCGGCCAACCTTGACCCGATTATCATTCAATGCGTTTTAACATTTCCCATCCGCACAAATTACTATTGTATTACAATTATAGTATTGGATATGAATAAAGAGAAACGCTTTTGACTTTTGACCATTATTTGCAAAAGGAGAAATTTTATTGGTTTCGCGAAATCGTAACGCGGCCCAAATTTGAAACGCACTTTCACATACGTTAGAAGTTACGAAGGAAATCACTGGGAATTTGCGAGGAACTTTGCGTACGCGGTGCGTGCCGCGTTCTGGGTTAACACGCGGCCCGTTATTAGCCGGGGAGCGACCAGTCATGAACGTCATCGGACTTTTTTCTGGTTCGAGTGAAACTTTGGCAACGCGTATGCTAAGCGAGTCGACCTGAAGAGAAACGTCGTTCGCCACGGTGACACCTACCTATTTCGAATTCTTACCTTTTTTCTTCTCGGGTTAACGAATCGATTTGGAATTTGTAAAACGAGTCGAGAGACGCTCCGACGGGATAGGAATTGGCACAGATAACCAGGCACGCATTACGATCGACGGCAAGTTTGAATTAACCAGACAGATTTATGAGAATATAATGCAAATAAATAAAGCGAAATAACTTTTGAGATTCACTGTATAGTCAATACATTCTTAAGGGTATTTTAAATGAAACGATCATTAGACTGGCAAAGCACATTCTTTAGACAAAGCATACGGCGGGAAGGCGAACGGTCGCGAGGCTCGGTGAAAGTTTACATAATCCGCTTAAAGAGCGATATCAACCGCACCTAATTCCGCGATGGCAAGATCGTTTCTCTTCTCTAGACGCGATTTTACTTGCGGACAGGCGTGTCTGTTCCTTTCTGCGGTTCGTCGCGAGGGGGAAACCTTGGTTTTACTTTTGAACGAAGGATCGACGAAAGGATTCCAGAGAAAGGATGAATGAACACTTCTCTGACGTAAGACCGCCGCGATATTACTTCCCCAATTTCGAGGTCTTACTTTATAAACGTCATACTTAGAGCGATTGAATACATCGAAGTTGTTTTAATTGTAAGCGCGTTATCACGACCTTACATCGATTTCTCGATTTCTGCGACCATAAAACAATAGTTTAACAGGCGAACGGTCCCACCGAATTCGTGTCGAGGTGGGATAAAAATACCTCACGAATTAGCAACGAACGCCCGAAATCAGTGAGTCAGTCACTCGAATCGAAAAGAGTAGCAAAGCTTCTTTGCTTTATTTATATAGAATAAAAGACATTTCCACTATGACACGTTTTCTAGGAAATCAGAGAAAGAGGAAGAAATAGTCGCATGGAGAACCGCGAAGATCGATTTCCGGGACCCATCTGCATTCCCCGTGAACGAGAGAGTGTCATTGGACGTGGCTGGAATCTCGACAAGGCACCTACGCGCGGGGTATTTCGCAACCGAAATTCCTGGTCCACTTTGTAACCGCTTCAGGTTCGGAAACGAAAACGACAAGAGCGGATTGTTGTTATCGGGGCCCCGTGAGAGAGCCGAGTCGCAGGGTCAGAGTAGAAAGTGGTGTGTCCGATGAAGGTCGGATCCGGGATGTCTGAACCTGATCTATACCAGTTTTCTTTCATTCATGACGATCGCGTTCTACGAGCCGGTCACGCGAGGTGAGAGTCAATGCCGATTTCTGGTGTTGCCCTCTTCCTCCGGAAATTACGACCCGAGAAAGCCGCGGCGAGACCTGCTCGCCGCGCGCGACGCACGATAGAAATGATCGACCGCCTCGAGATTTACGAGTACCGAGGGACAAGCCAGTGGGTCTTCAACCCCACCAGCTCCGGCCGCGTCCACTCCTTATCTCAGACTTCTAATGCTGTTAGCTTCTCGTACACCGTACACGTTTTACCGCTCTGTGAATCGCTGTTAATTGGCGAATCCTCGTTAAGCGTCTCTTTCTAGCGGCACGACACTTATCTCAGGAGAAAACGGAATACCGATCGTTGATCTCAATACGTTGTATTCTCTACGTTCAATTCTGTATCTAAATCCTAGAAATGGGATGCATGGCAGGTTTGAATTCTGAATCTGTTACGAATCAGTGAAGCAGGCATCATAAATAAGTGTATAGAGAATTATAAGCCTATAAAGTAGGAAAATTAGTATGCAATCGGGACGAAGGGGACGAGTAGATGGTTGGTCCCGCGGTCGTCCGTGGGCAGGCCGCGGGTCGGTCAAGCATGGGCGTTGGACGACGCGGTACACCTATCCGCGTGTGTCCATTGGCCCCGAATACTTTCGTCGTCAGACCGGCTAGACGGCCTGGGTCTGGACGATCGCGTCGCGGGGACCGACGATCAGCGACGTAGCCCGATGAAGCCCGCGTGTGACGACACCGCGTGCACGGCAAATAGGAAGAAAAAAGAGACGAGGTGGGGCGGTGACGCGGACGGGCGCAGAGGAGGGGCCCGCCAAATATAAGCTTAAGAGATTGTACGATGGACCACACGAAATTTCACTACCGACGGGTCGGGTTTCGGAAAAGGGTGGTCGTCTCCGTTCTGCTGGAACCAGTCATTATACGTGCATTACCTCGTTCCGTGTTCGAACTCGTTCCCCGTTGCTACTTGCGAGAAGAAGGACGACTATATCAACCATGAAGTTACTCGCCGTTGTGATTTTAACGTCAGCAGTTGTCCTGGCCGCCGGGCAGAGCCTGGACGAGTGTCTGCAGAGCGACAGCATCTCCTGCGTGCAGAAGAGCCTCTATCGGAAGGCGAAAGATTTCTTCGAGGCGGATAGCTACGAGCTGTTTAGTGGTGTTAGCTTGGTGAAGAACGAGCAAGGAAGGGGATCCAGAACTAACAAAGAGCTGTTGTACGAACAGGAGATCGACGCCGCCAACAGTGTCACCGACAGACAAAGCGCGCTCGAGAACTTCGTCAGCGACGAGGCTGGAGAGTTCCTCACTGGTCGCAGTCTGAAGGTAAATGCATTATCACCTGAGTAGCCTTCGCGAGACGTTATTAGTAACGCGACGCGTTCATTTTCCCGTAGATCAACTTCGCTCCGGCATTCGAGAAGATCGGAGAGTCCGCTCGCGCTATCAGTGACTCGGCGCCGGAAGAGGTGCGCCAGGCAGTCAATGAGGTCGTCGAAGGTAAGGATTCCATAATTTCATAGACCGTTATTACCATTCGTTCCATTGCTCGTTCAATCCGATTCCAACGAAGCTGCATTTGGTTTCAGGCCGAGGCAAGAAGAAGATACTGAAGTCGTTGTTACCGCTCCTGATCGCGGCGAAAGTGAAAATCGGTGCTCTAGCTACTTTGGCGTACTTCGCCATCGGTCTTATAGCCAAGAAGGCCATCTTCGCGTCTCTCATCTCGCTGGCTATCTCCGCGTTTATCGGCCTGAAAGCTCTCTGGTCGAAGAACTCCCACGACGTGACACCTTACAACGGAGGATGGAGTGGTGGTGCCGCCGGTGGCGGATGGTCAGCACCGGTCGCGAGCGGTGGATGGTCCTCCGGTGGTGCCTCTTGGGACGATTCTCACGGATACGCTCAGAGTCAAGCGTATTCTGGATATCACCACTAATTTCAAATTAATTTTAATCCCATAAATTGTATATCTTCCCTTCTCTCTCCTGTTCTTCGTTCCTTCTCCCTTTTATGTCCTCCGTCCTTCCTTTCGCGTCGATCTAGAAACTAACAGGAGCGACGGCTTTGACAATTTAATAGATCGACGCGTGCTATTTATTGTTTATTTATCCCAATATCTTTAAATAGATTAGCGGCCATCCAGTGGTCCCACGTTGTAAATAATATATATTTCGCGTTAAGCGAGTTACGAATAGACAAACCACGGAATCAAAACATAGAGGCTAGTCGCAACGATTCTGCTCGAGGAATCGAGCCTTCTTAAGCGTCAACCATCGTCGCTTGGTAACCGTACACATACAAATTATAGAATTCTCTTCCCGATCGCAGATCGAACATCATCTAGTCCATCTGGTAGATTTAGATGAACTCTGCGTCGAACTGCTCTCCTATCTTGACAATGAGAATCTTTGTAATACCGATGAATCATTAAACACAATTTTTATAAAAATACCAATTTTTTTTGATTGATTATCTGCCTCCCTCCCCTTGCTAAAAAATTTCATCAATTAATTGCAATTTAAAAAGTACAAATTAATCATCGCAGTTTTCATATGCGTTAATTTCTGTTCAAATGAAAATTGAAAGTTCGGCAACGATGAGAGAAATTCCGACTTCTCTAGTCTTTTATGATTTTTTTTTGGCCAGACTTTGATGTCAGCTTCGGAATCGAGCCGGTGCGACGCGACCGCGACACGCCGAGCAATGATCAATCGCGAGAGGAGAAAGTGCACCGTATCCGGTTTGACGCGATCGCGTTTCCACCTCGCGAGCGAAAACCCGCAGAGGTCGAGAAGCTCGGTGTACGTCATTCTTTAATCGGGTCGAGAGGACAGGCATTCTACTAAATCTTCCGCGAGCGATGTCTTTAAGTCCCAGATAGAGGAGGAAAATGAGTGGCTGGAAAGGAGGTTGACGCAAAATTGCCGTTTCTTTCGTTCGGCGCGATGCCCCATGGTCAACTCGCTCCGGGGCTTGACCAGTAAAAATTCGTTTCGCCGTCCGATGCTTATGTGGGCTAGCGTGGCTCATCGGATTTTGATTAGTCAAACATATTTGAGACATTTTATACTTTCCAAAATAATATTTTACAAAATATTCGAAACAATTAATTTGAATCCTGTTGATATTACTGTGGGATCGAAAGTTCGATTTGTTTAAAGTTTCACACTGATAAGGTCCCTTAAATCATATGCATCTGATTATTCAAAAAGGTAGTAATCGATAGAAGGTGAAACGAATCAGAGGAGCAAGGAAGAATGTGTCACGGCTCGTTGGGTCCGTCCGCGGCGTGACAGGATCTCTGAGAAAAAAAGATGCGGAATTATTTTGAAAGGAAGAGGAGACTTTCGTTAGAGTTGACAAAGTCACGCGAGAAAGAGGCATTGATTGTAACGCGGCGTACTTGGAGTCGTCATCTTTTCTTTCCCTGTCACATTTAACTTCATTCAATCGTTTCTCCAAGTCGAACGTAATTATTTGTACGGGAACCTGTCTTCTGCATAGAATCAAACAAAATTACTACAAGTTGTTAACCGTTTCACTGTTTTTAACGTCAGTTTAAGATGTTTTCTAAACAATTATTTAACGAAACAGCTAGACGCGTTTTCTTTCAAACAATCTGTACTATTTCTTTTTTATCAGCGAACGTAACATTTTCATTCGCCGACGTGCACTCGAATCGTCGGCCTCGTAAGTCGTCTGATTTTTTCTTGCGTCTGGTAAAGCGGGCAGGAAAATCGGGACGCGTTGTCCATTAAGAAAAAACGGCATGTCGAAAAGAATATAAAAGAGAAGAGAATGAAGAATCGTCATGAAAATTGGCGCTGCGTCACGGATCTGCGAGCCGGTGAATAGAGGCTTTCTTTATTTCTTTCCTTCGGACATCACAAAAGCAGGGAATTTCACCTGACGCTCGTAACGCGAGCGCCACTATTTCATTATTAGAGAGCCGTAAAGTGGCGGTGCTTCGCTCGCGTATCTAAATCTCGGTTCTCACGTCACGATTAGCAGTTTCACATACGCCACTGGGTTATTGGATTCTCTCCGTTGTTAGATTTCCTAGTGCCTTATTAACCGCGGCGGCAGATGTTCCCGGTCATCGACAGGGCCCGAGCGCAGCGCGATTCGAATCACGGCGGGCCCTGTAAAAATCTGGTAAAAGCGCGACACGGATTCCAGAGTCCGTTCCTTGATCGCTCGTCAAGAAATTGGAAAGTTTCGATGCTCGATTTTCAGAGCTACCTCTGAACCGTCTGCCTATCAAAAATAATGTATTCGTCGCTGTTAGTTTCATGTCGTCGATTACTGCCACTGTTTCAAACGCGTTCCGCGTGAATTTTCCCATGAATCCGTTCGCTCTCGTTCTCCATTCAACAACTGGTTGCTCGCTCGCGTCCACTTCAGATCTAATTAACTCCGAGATCCACGCTCCTGCACGGCTCCATCACAGCCAGACGATCCGAGCATCTCGAAGATCGTATCTTCCCACACGCGTTTTCTCACACGTGGACTTTCGATGGCCGACAGTTTCGACTTTCTGATCGTCCGAAAGTGTGTTGGCCTCCTCTCTCGCGCGCGGGCTCTTAACCTTTGATTCCTGGCGTTCTCTAACCATAACGTCCTCGATACCGCGACTTCCGTCACTAGAAACCGTTCTTCGTTTCCCTCGTAGTCGGCTAGGATCGATCGCGACACGACTCTTGGTTTATGCGACTCGATTCGGACCGACGATCACTGAGCCGTGGGTGGCCCACCCGTACCTTCGCTTTTGTTCGGGTGCACGTGTTCGGCGCTCGGCGTACGTCGCACGCGGCACGTAAGAGCGGGCCGAGTCAGGTGGATGATTCCGCCCGGGGCGACGTTCGCTCTCGAGGGCCGATCTTGATTCCCAATCCCCGAAACCGGTGGGAAGAAACGCTTCAGAAGTGGGGAACAGGTGAGACGAGGACAGGTGCGTATATTACAGCGAACACGAAGGAAGAAAGAAGATACTGCCGAAACGGAGGCCCGGGTCCAGTTGTAACGCTCGACCCAGTTGTAAATGGGTGAGCGACCCCGTTCCCAAGATAATATCTCGCGTCCATCATCGACGGATGAATTTTTCAATCCACCTCTACCTCCTAGGCGATTAATTATTTCTTAGAGTCAGGCGTTAGAATCGTTTTTACAACTACTTTGGGTCACCTCGTGGCTGTTACGATAACAAAAACCTCAGATGCACGGTTACGTCTTTATCTACTTAGAAAGAGTTTACGACGACATCAAATCTCGGATAACTGTAAGTCCTGTATATACCGGTGCCGTCGGAAAATTAGGAAGCAACGATCCGTTATATTTAATAGAGAAAAGGTAGTCGAGCTTCATCCCTCCGTCCCGGGCAGATCTTCGGCTGTCAGTTAGCTATTTGCGAGACTGGAAGGAACGGAAAAGGGATCCGTCAGCGTTCGAATCGCGGTATCCTGGTAATAATGATAGAACAATTCAGCAAGGGAGCAGAGAGGAAGTGAGACACGCGAAGTCATGCGAGAAATCACAAGGGAGCGCGAGTTCCCCACGACCTCCACCGTAGATTTCCCTCATTGAACCTCGACCAAGGGAGGAGTCTCCCTTCTACCTCCTCAGGATCTCCTTCTCAGGAGGTCGAAGTAGGTCTCTCGCGCGAACGAGAACGAGAAGGACACCGAGGAAGAAAATGCAAGTGCCTCGGTCTTCTATTTCCCTGGGCCTTTTTCGCGTAACTCTATCCGGTCCCCGTCGGTGCGTCGAGTTTCGAGGGGAACCCGTCGGTTTTTGCCCCGAAATATCGTAACGACGAGAATCCGCGAAAGGAGAGAGGGGATGGAGAAGGAGACCACTCGAAGGACTCGGAGAGAGGGGTAGGAGAGAGGCGCGAGGAGACGCGAGCGAGGATGACATAGGGGGGATGGCGATCAGAGGGAGAAAGAGAGAGAAAAAGAGAGAGAAAGAGAGTATGGTGAACGCGAACTCTCGGTGGCCCGTGGCCACGAGGTCTCCCCTAGTGCGATACTTCGGTATAAAAGCAAAGCAACGTCTTTTGGATGTAACACACGAGTTCGATCGACGCTCATCCTGGCGTCCTCTCCAACGCGAATACGAGTACAAAGCGCGACGCATCGAGGATATTTACAAACAATCGACGCGTTGTGACAACTATTCATCATTTCCACCCGTTCCCGAATTCCAGAAGCGAACATGGGCAAATACCTCGCGACGATCCTGTGGCTGCTTCCGGTGCTGGTCACGGCGCTACCGGCCAACGAAAAACCCGGAAGTGAAAATGATCTGATGGCTACCATCTACACCGACTGTCTGAAGAAGGAGTCGCTCAACTGCATCAAGTACAAAGTATTCTCTTACGTGGACAAGATGCTCGTCGACAAGGATGACATCACCCTCACGGACGGCATCACCGTGGTGAAAACGTCGAACGCCGAAGAAGGTGCACCCAGGTTCGTCTGATTCCGTTACCATCTCGTTAGACTTAAATTAAACATCGGGTTCATCATCGCTTTTATCGTCCGATCGTCAATCGTAGATCGATCGAGTCCAGCGACTTGGACACTCTCTTGTTCGACCGATTGGGAAGGTTCTTAAGGATGCACACGGTCAAAGTCGACCTGAAGGGTACGGACATCCTCGGAGCCATCGAATCCGCCGGTCGGAGCTTCGAGGACTTCACCGACAATGCCGTGGAAAGTCGTGGCAAGAAGAGTGAGTATAGATTTGGCTCGATACCAAAACGCGTCCACTCGATCGTCACCCGTAAGGAACTACATCCTATTTCCACGACCGTTAAGTGTTAATTGGTATGAGAACTTCGCCGCGGGTCCTGGAACGCGCTTAATTAGCTCCTCGGTAATTAACGCGGCTAGAGAATCGAATAACCGGAGTTTTCGTACCTGCTTCCCGCGCCCCGCCGGGCCGCCGGCTCTATTAAGCGATGACGAGGCTAAGAAGGTGACCGCGAGACGTTGACCCACTGAGGAACTGGTTCCGCTTCCCTTTGAAGCGGCTCCTGCGATGGGGAGACGATTACTCGAGAGTGCTGAGAGAGGGAGAGAAAGAGCGACATGACAGATAGACCACGCGAGATCGCGTCGCACGAGATTTTTGACACACTTTTCCCTCGTGCCACGGGCCGCCATGACCTTCGCCTTATTCCACTTCGAAGATCTCTCCACGCGCGCCCTCCTCCTGAGAAAGGTCGCGTCGCGAACCTTCCAGAACCAAGCTTACAGTTCATTCTCGTGGGAATCTTGTGCTATATTATTAAAATGCTCCCGAAGAAGCATACTCGTACATGTATGAAGCTAATCAGTGAGAAATCGTTACGCTACGTTGGCTCTTGGCCTCGTGCGCGACTACCCAGAAAATTAGCAATAAAACTGAGGCTGCCTAGAAATTATCGGTTCACCGACTCTTGAGTATTATTCAGAATTCTATATCGATCTTACCGATACCGAAAAATCTTTTAACAGAAAAGAAAGAATTTGCAATTAGTGTGGCTGCATATGCAATGTACCCATATTTTTTTGTAGAAAAAGCTCAGAAGATTCTCGGCCCGCTGATAATGGCCTTGGCCCTGAAGGCTGCAGCCCTGTTGCCGTTGGCCCTCGGCGCGATTGCCGCGATCGCCGGTAAAGCGCTTCTCGTCGGAAAGATCGCCCTCGTCATATCCGCGATCATCGGTCTGAAGAAGCTGCTCAGCTCCAGCGGCGGCAAGCACGTCACGTACGAGGTAGTGTCGCACCCACATCACAGCAGCAGCCACGTCGTCAGCCACGATGACGGTGGCCACGGCGGTGGTTACGGTGGCGGTGGTGCCGACTACGGTGGCGGCTACTCCGGCAGCAGCGGCCACGGCTGGGCCAGGAGTCTACCACAGGACTCCCACGAGCTGGCGTATCGCGCCCATCAACCTCAAAAGCAATCATGAAGAATGCTTTCGTAGAAAGTTTTCACCCTTCGACTTTCGTCCTCTCACTTTCCACGTTTCCTTGAACCTCCTTTCCTCGATTTTTCTAATTTCTTGTACACAACCCCATCGCTGTCTGCACTTTTTATACATATCTATTGTTCCTATCCTATCTTCGATACCTGAACTTACTTTACGTCTCAGCACGTTCACTTGTCCGCTGTGTCTTTTCATATTCTGTCCTCTCCTTAGCGACGAACCAGTACCTCGTCGAGATACTCGTTCTGTGTATAGCGTACTTCTCGCGAGCCTTTTATTATTTATTCATTGCGCCTGACCATGCGACATTTAGTACATACATGTATTTATTTAATTTTATTCATCGAGACCGTGTGCTATTTTGTTACATATTTGGCTACAATTGTTTTTTTTTTCTTTTGTAATAAAGATATGGCGAACGGCGCGCTGCGCTTTTGTCCCAAAGAAAATAAGTGGCGAACGTAAATAGCGATGAGGAGAATAATCCTTCCAGATCGTCGTGTTTATCCTCGCGAGAGGAATTCCGATGACCGATCGAACGATCCAGAAACAGAGATTAGCAGACCCGGTTAGAGGCCCGCTGATATTTACGATTGACGAGTGAAAGTAGTATTAGGAACGCGTTGTACATCCATTGATACCTCTGAACCAGATACGACTTAATGAGCCGCGTTCTACGGGACCGCGGCTAATCGTGCCACGTAGAAAGTATTTCCACTGCTTCCTCTTGCGAGAAATAAATCCGTTGTTCGTCGTTTTACCGAGGTACCGACGACCCACTCGTCGACATTCCTTCGTAACGTTCCGAACAAATTGATGCCAATTCCGCGGAACTCGGCGCGTCCACTCGAGCATGCCACCGGTGACCCAGCTTCGTCCGTCGCTCGTTTAATAGCTCGTAAAACGTGGCTCCTTTTCGCGGAATCACCCTCATTACCCGCGCCGCGATCCAAACCGGATGTGAACTTTCAGCCTAACCTGCGCAACCTATAACGCCGAGCACCGTGCACCACAGATTTCCCACTCGCGTGGACCGTGCGTCGATGCAACGCCGGTGGTTTCGTTCGCAAGCAAGTGACGCGTGACGAGGTATTCATCAACGGGTATCGCGATGCAGAAAATCGCCAGGTTGTGGAACGCGGCCTGGTACCGGAAAACAACCTCCTGCTCCTTCTCGTGTTCAGGTCTCGTCGCTTTCGCTACGTCCGAGATCGTTTCCACGTGTTTAACCTTGACACAGACGATCTACGATCATTCAGTGATTTTCCGTTCTTCGCAGCGAAAAGTCAATTTCTGCGTCCTTGATTAGTTGATTAAAAGAGGAAAATACCAAGTACAAGATTTCTACTTCCTCGTTTATTGACAATTCCTCTGCAAATTATTATGATTAAAGAATTATGGATGTTAAAGAAAAAATTGTATATACGCGATATTAAAGGTAGCTGATCGATAAGATGATTATGGTAGAGAAGTTCGATTGGAGGGAGAAAGAAACCGCGTCTCGGGACAAGGCACGGGGAAGAGGGCCGGTTCCCCACCGAAATTTCAGTCTTGCCTCGCTGCTTTTCGATGTCTCACTGCGCTCGCGAACTCGAACATTAAGATATCCCCCTCCGGGCATGCTCGGGCCTACGCATCTAACAATAAGTACCTGTAACGCGTTTTCACTTGGCCCAGTTTAACAGACTGCTGCCTGCCGCTGCCGCCATCCGGCAGGACGAAAATGGCAAGGATGCGCGGTGACACCGCAGGATAAGAGGGAAAAGTAGCGTTGGAAACCGTCGCTGACTAACCGGGACGGTTACGCTGATTACGATGGAACTAACGGTCCGCATGAATTAACATTACCAAGTTTCTATTTTTATTCGTGTCATAAATGTAGAATACACGGAGTCGAAATATACTTTCTGTTACACGGTGGATAGTCATTGTTGCCGGCTGCTAGATGCGTTTAGTCGAATAAAACTAGTCGATCGGCTGGATCGACCTTCATCTCCATCGGATGCGCTTTCGATTTCAGGCTTACCGAGATAGCCACGTTGATGATAGCGTGCGCAGATGAAAAACGCAACAAAATGATCGCGGAGGAAGCGCTGCCAGGTTCGGTTTCATGCTTGTCGTGTTGCGGTTGCTATATCCGTGTTACGAGTGACCGTCGATGATAGAAAGTACCTCGTCGAATTCCAACAAAACTGAACTTCAGCAAACTTGGGTAGAAAGCGAATGGGAAAAAAATCATTATATGCAAGCTCTCTGTGCATATGTTTACGAAAATAGTGGAAATCTATGCACGATTCTGTGCGCTGGAAAACGACAGGTGGGGAGGACCTCGTCCGCTGTAACACGTGCCCGCAGCGAATTTCAGAGTCGGCGGCGATCTGGTCAGACCGGTCTGTCGGCGAAACGAGCGAGGACAAGGGCGAGGACGGTGATCTGGTCGAGAGTAGCGAAACGATTCGCCGGAATCGGCGGTTTTATCGGCGGACGCCGCTGGTGGGGTTGATGAGTTCGGTAAAAGGAAGGAGAGAAGAAGAGGAGGCAAGGAAATCGGGAGGAGAGGTAAGAGGCTCGGCGAGATCCCCGCTGTCGGATCCGGGGAGGAATTCTGCTCTCTACGCGGCCTCCAGGTGGTTGGCGAGACGCGGCGATTCTCGAGCGATCCTTGGCAATGAAAACGCTCTCACAACTTACAATGGTGGTGTGCGTATACGCGACGACGATGACGGCGGTGGCGGCGGCGGCGGCGGCGGCTGGATCTCGGTGGGGAGAGTATCGCCAGCCACGGAGGTACACCTGACCAGATATATAGAGCTAGGGCAGGGCTTCCGTTACGGACAGTCCAGTTACAGTTGCTCTCTGTACGCACGCATCTCGCGCCAGGGCCCAAGGTGTCGAGAACCGACCGAAAATATCGAGCAGAGAAACGCGAGGCTCAACTCCGTTCAGTTCCGACCTCTCCAGGATACGATCAGTCTCTCTTTGGTAGATATCGATTAGCCTTGCTATCATTTATTGTGTCTTCTTTCGTACCAGAGCGCACCGTTCGGATGTTTCAAGTTTTCGTGTCGATGCAGGTTTTTCGGAAATCGTTCAAGATGAGGCGTTTCGTTCAGTGTTACGTGTACGCTAGCTTCCTGTTGGCCCTGGCCTCGGCAAGGTCCGCCGACACCAATCCGACGAGCAATTCCATCAACGAGCAGACCGCCAGGTCCACTGGGAACAGTAACGTGTTCGGTGATCTCCGACAGATGTATCAGATTTACAAGGAATGCGCGGATGAGGAACTGAGCCCCTGCTTGAAAGTCAGACTGCTCTCAGCCATAGACAGAGTGTCGAGGAGCAGCCAGTTGAACGTTGCCGACGGTGTCACCTTCGTTCAGGACGATCCCGTTCCCATCGCGGAAGAAGAGCCGAAATCGCTGCAAGAGATCGAGGCTAGCCTACCGCGAGCTCTGGACGACAAGGAGGACGCGTTGAACACCATGATTCTCGACAAGGTCGTCAAGTTCTTCCAGAGCCACACGCTCAAGCTGAAATTACCGAACGTCGAGGAACTTCAGCGGAGTTTCGTGGAGGAAGGTAAGAATTCATTACCGATCGAGAACCGTGAACTTGACCGCGTCGAGTTGATTCCTCGGCGCGGTGATCCGAGGGAAGAAAGTTTCCGGCTACGATTTCCCGGTCCAGTAGACCGTATGGCCCACTCTTTTTACGAATCTGGGAATCGATCCGGTGTTCCGGTTAATTTATGTAATTGAATGTTTGTCAATCATCATTTTCAGGTCGCAGGAAGAAGAACAAAATGGGCGGACTTCTCGCGATTCCGCTGCTGATCGGTGGTACCCTGGTACCCTTGGCTCTGGGAGCATTGGCCCTGTTGGCCGGCAAGGCTCTGATCGTCAGCAAGCTCGCCCTGGTGTTAGCCTCGATCATCGGTTTGAAGAAGCTGGTGTCCGGGGGCGGCGATCACGGGCACGAGGTCGTTCAAGTGTCCGGTGGTCACGGATCCAGCGGATGGGCGAGATCGAGCCACGACCTCGCCTATTCCGCCTACAAACCGTCGTCAACTTAAGAAAAGAACACCGAGAGAGAGACAGAGAAGGAGTCTTTTCAATCTCGTTGGACTTCGCTTTCACGAGGCATCGCGATGAGCCATCACCGGATGTCGCTTTCCTTTCCTCTTCGATCGTTCACCTCCTTCGCCTTCTCGCCCTCGCGCCCCCTTCGACCCTTTCTCTACGCCTTCTCACAACGATCGCGTCGCCTCTTCCCTCATCCTTTACCAAAAAATCGTCGCGAGCGTCCCATTCGATTATCTTCATCTTCACAGTATTTATTATTCAGCGCGGAGCTGCGTGGCAGCCATGTATATTTATAGGTATGCAAATATATTAAGATTGATTATACCAAACAAACTGTTTCGCATCTTCCTTGAAATTATTCCTGTATAAATCGAACCGTAAACGATCGAGAGGCTGTCGACGAATGAATAAGAGGAGTCGAAGAATGCCTCGACGATTCGCGAGTTCCGATCCGGTCATTGAAAGTAACGACGCTGAATGAAACGGCGGCGATTCTGAGTACTCGTTACTGTCTCGCGAGCGTATGCAGGCCAGGAGAGCGCGATGACTTCCGCCTTCTTCCTCTTTCGCGGCCGCGCGTGGAGAAGACGGAGAGCCACGGTTACCTACATAACTGGAAACGCGCGGGCACCTTACGCAGTCCTTGGACCTGGAAGCTTCGCGTACACACCAGGCGTGCACAGATACACGCGCGCGCGAGGCGAGAGAGACACGGCTCGGGAGAGGATAAGTAAACCAGGACACACGGGCCCGGCCAGGCCAGTCAGCATCCGCGCCGGGTCGCCGTGTCGTTTCAACCTGCGCCTAATACTCTCTATATTCTATATCGTCGTAAAGAAAACGCCGTGATTCTCTCTCGTTTCTCTTCCTCCGTCTCTCGTCGATCGATCTCTCCTTTCGTTTCACGATGCGGAGTCATTGTTCGTCAAACATGAATATTTACGTCTTCGATTAGATAAGATAGTCCTAAGCAGGTCTGGACTATTATTCGCATACTTTCCAGTATGTCAGAAGAGAATTTCGAACCGTGTGCGTATGTGGATTAGAAGCTTGAATCGGTAACTTGAGAATTGCAAGTCAGTTTTCACTATGCAAATTAAGAAACTCCCGGTTGAAATTTCGTCATCTTCGCGATCACGTGAATTTAACGAAGACGAAGCAGCACATTTTCTTATTAAATCCTTGTATCGTCTTTTAAATTGTGTTTCGTGGTGGAAGAGAATGAAGAAGCAGGTTGTAAGTAACGCGGACGGAAGAGAGAAGAACGAGAAGCTCGGTCTGACTTCGTGGGGGCCTTGACCTGACCTCGATCCTCGGGCGAGTTCACTCTCGCCGGCAGTCGAGACGAAAGTGTTCCATTACCACCGGCACCGAGCTCGTCTCCTTCTTCAGGATTAGCGTCTCGGCGCAACTACGGTCTTATCACGGTCAAAAAATCGCGACTACATACACGTTTGACAGGGCGTCACGTGTAGCAAACGTGTTTCTGATATCGTCCATGGGGTCGAATTACTCAAATAAGAAGCTACTTTTTCGCCTTCTCGAAACGAGTATGGAGGTAGATGGGCAGCAGGCAGGATGCCGGCGATATAAAGAATATAAGGTGAAAGTCTTTCCTAGCGGAATGTAGCATGTCTTATTTCTTTCATAGAACTTGCCTTGTCGTTTTGGTTCTACCCGATGCACGCGGACACTCTCGTTTCAGGTACAATAAAACAGAACGTAGAACTAGTTTCAAACGATTACGTATTGCACGGCTGTGTCAAAAGTAACGCAACAGCTCAGAAAACTGGAAACACTCTGTCCTTGAATTTGTAAAAGTGAGACACGGAATTATGTTCGCAATTAGGGAAATGAACTTGATTGACATTTTATCATTTGATATCTCGAACCGGAATGAACTGTCGAACAACTAAGCAGATTATTGCGAGTATAATAAATGGACTGAGTGAGAAATGAAGAAAATACGTAGGCAGCAGAGTTAGCAGGAAGACGAGTACTCGTTAGCGTTAGAAGATGCTCTTCGTCCGCGGAGAAAGTCGCGGTATCGGGTCCTCGAAACGAACCGATCGGAAGCGACGGTCGGTCAGCCCTCTCATCTCTTTCCTTCTCCGTACAATTTTTCTAGGCGAGAGACGAGCGTCTTCGGGGTCACGGCGAGGCGCGGCCGGAGGAAGCCTGGCTCGGACCCAACTCGTACGCCCGTACCATGGACATTCCATGAAAAACCGTTAAACCGGCTGTTCCGCGCGCTTGTCGCATGAATACATTAATTTTTCGAACACCATATTGCGTTATTCACTCCGGAATCGGATGAATGGAAGCTTCGGGTGGAATCCACCGCGCGAGGAATTTAGGATTTAATTATCGGTTACAGTTAGCGTGAAAATTGGTCGTTCGAATTCCAGAACGATTCCGCATAGATTCCAAATAATTTGAGTCATGATTGAAAAAAGAAGAATTCGCGACGAAATAGCACGAGATATTTAATAGCAGCGCGATGAAGAAAGTTGCGGAGGCGTGAGATTTAAGAATCTTTTCGCATAATGTATTATACATACGGCTTGTTGAAAGCGAAATCACTGTGGTTAGCGCTTGATCCTTCATCTTCCTGATTACTCTTAACGTCCTGCTTTTTAAAAGATGTCATAGGCCAATAGTCATTTTATTCGTTAATTATATTTAAGATCGTGTTAAGTATTTTCTATCCCTGTCTATTGCAGTTCCAGTCCCTGTCTCGTACAGAAAACAGGGACTTGAGCAAATGCTTGAGGCGATCTTAAATATAAGTAACGACTCTGAATACCGGTCAGAGGATCGTGAAACTTGAAGATTTTCCCGTTTGAGAGAAGCTACTTTATGGGACAATTTTAATAACATAATTAGCGATTCGAATGTTCCGAATTCCAAGGCGCGCGATTAGACGAACGTGTGTAATGTTCGATAACGGAATAACTCGACTCCTCATTGACAGATATATTTATAGAACGATTTTCAGACAACGTCGCGAGAATCCATTAAAGACGAGTTCTCAGCGCTAGCGAACCCCTGTGAATCTCATTGACCCTGAATATTCGATTTCTAAATACACCTTGCCTGTCTCTCTCTCTCCCTCTCTCTCTAGAAACAAATACGGTACCCTAGAACGAGAAAGTAACCGAATTCTACGAACCTTTCTTCCATAGTCGTAATTTACAGAAGAGATTACCACCTTCCGACAATTATACGTTAATAGATAGTGTACAGAACTAATTACGATCTCTCGTACTCCTTTCGCCTGAACAAACTGAATCCTCGTTTTCTGCTAAAAATATCGTAGCTCCTTCTGTACTTCAAGAACGCCGTTTCATTTTTCTTATTTTTCTATTAATTTTGTAATTGATTCCTCGTGTGACACAAAATTAATTACGATTTTCAACGAAATTTCTTCTAACAAGTATTCGATGAGGAATTCTCACCTGAGAATGACGGTGTCATCTCGTACATGTCGGAACCTTCCCAGCGGGAAAAGGGCCGCGTGGGCCAAGAATCTTCGGACGATTCCCTTCTTCATCTTCCCTCCAGCTCCCCTCGTCACCGTCGCGCGGACGTTTGCTCTCACGATAAGCTTCGTCAGGGCTGTGGTCTAAAGAGGACTAGAGGAGACGAGGATGAGGAAGCGAGAAGAGGAGCGGCGGAGACGTCTTTGGTTTGCGTCGCGTCGCAACGGGAGGAGACGCGGTTGCGACAGAGAAACACGGTAAGTAACGATCGCCTCGAGGAGAACCAATAGCTTGTGTATGGGTTGTAACCCAGGCGGAGACCCGGGTCGGTGGGGGCCATCAAAATTTCAAAAACGTACGCGGACCCCTTTCGCGACGAGGATAAAAGGCAGCAATCGTGATTCTTTCAGTCAGTGTCGATACGATCGCCGCAGTTGTTCCAACAGTTGTGTCAAAGGGATTACTCGTCGGTGACACCAGGAGTACCTGCATTCCAAGATGTTCAAGTTCATGGTTATCGCCGCGTTCCTCGCCGCCTCAGTGCTCGCTGCTCCCACGACTCAGGACGCCCCTCACCAGCCGTCGATCCTCGAGGATGCACTCACTATTTACGGATCCTGCTCCGGAGAACAGGATATCTCCGTCTGCCTGAAGTTGAAGGCTCTCCAGTTCGTTGACAGAGCGGCTCGTTCGGCCAACATCGAGGTCGTCGACGGGTTCAAGTTCGTACAGACCGAGGAGGCTAAGAATAGGTAAGCGTCGGTGCGACGGAAAGTGAATGCGGGCGGGGCCGAATGATTTACGGGATAATTTTTCTTAACAGTCGCGCTGACAATGCCAGATCGTTGAACGACATCGAAAGTTCTCTGCCGACGGAAGTCGAAGCCAAGGAAGCCGCGATCGATGAGGCCATCGTCGACAGGACTGCTAAATTCCTCTCGACTCACACCGTTGAACTCAGCCTGCCCGAGGAAGTCTCCCGCTCCTTCGACGAAGGTAACGCAAAGGAAGAACTTCTCGCTTTTATCGAATTCGTTCATTGCCTAACATCATAAATTTGATTTCAGCTCGTGGAAAGAAGAAGAAGATCGTGAAATCTCTCTTGCCCATTCTGCTGCTTCTGAAACTGAAGGCTGCCGCTTTGATCCCGATCGCTCTCGGTGGTCTGGCCCTGTTGGCTCTGAAGGCTCTCGTCATCGGCAAGATCGCTCTCATCATCAGCGCTGTCATCGCCCTGCAGAAGCTCCTCGGCAACAAGAATCAGAGCTACGAGGTCGTCGCCCACCCCGTCCACTCGTACGGCCACGAAGAACACCACGACCACCACGGCTGGGCGAGATCGGCAGGCTCTGACCTCGCGTACAAAGCGTACAAACCTTCCGAATAATCGAACTACCACCATAGCATCATCGTTTCTCCACCTTCGTCCGCGAAAGTGATCGAGATCAATCACCAAAGGAATGCGCGACTCGAGGATCTTGTGCGATCGATCGATTGATTATGAATCACCCAAAGGCGACGTTTTTTTTTATAACACGTGACTAGTGACCAAACGTGACGAACAGTGACGATCGACGAATGACAAAGACTTACATATCTAGTGTCCTTCGAATGGGATTACGACCACCGACGTTTAAGACGGACTTAAAAGACAGTGAAAGGTGGTAGTCGCGCATCCTCCTCGTTCCCAGTGCAGCATTGATGCATACATTCCTATGCAGCAGAAGTTTCGGGTCGAACGCGATCGACACGAAGTCAGTACCTGCGCAGGGCCACCACAGATCGTCCAAACTATTATTTATATTATGCCCTGACTGGGTCGCCATGTAACTTATCTCAAACTATTTATAAATAAATCTTAATTTTATACGAACTCGTCTTATCTGTTTCTCACAATTCTCCTGATTTCACACCTCGGACTCGCTAACTGACGATAATCGAGTTAACACCTGTCGTTAAAAACGGACGTAGTTTTCATTCATCGTATGCTGACTTCATTTACATTTTCTTTTATGGTAATTCAGTGATTTGTATGTTTACATTTTTAAATATGCACCTTTGTCGAAATCGAAGCTTTTCGCCAGCGTCGATAATTAATTGAATATTTCCTTCTATACTTTTTAGCACGTAGCTATTTATTATTAGCATTGTTCTTCCGACGTCTGATTTCTTTTTAATTATAGGAAATGCGTTTTTCTAAGGTACATAAACTTTTCGGATTGACTGTATAGCCAATATATCCTTAAGAAGATCAGTCTTTGTAACAAACAGTCGTTGCTCCTTATTTCAACATTTATTATAACTATACGTAATGGATTATCGTGTAATAAAATTGATATAATTAAAGTCGAAGGCCCTTGACGGAGTTTCTCTTCCTTTTCTCAGGCGGACGTACTGACGGGGTAACGAGATTCGCTTGGAAATTCGCCTGTGCATCCGGTGTATCGAGGAACCATCTTGTGTATGAAAGAAACGAGACGGTACTTTCGCTACCTGTAAGACACGTCAAGTGAAACCGATTGTTCCATCGCGTGTGAACGCCCCCTTGACGCCTATATAGCGACCTGATCCTTGCTGCTAGATGAACAGTATTATGTCGGAACCCGGTCGTCCTCGTCGGAACTCGTTCCATACGCATATACCTGCGTGCCTTTAGATCTCCTTTCTCGTTCCTTGCGAGGGAAAATGTCGAGGGGTTGTCAAACTTCTGAGTCCTGCAACCGTTGATTTAGTGTTAGTCCTGAAAGAAATTAATTTTAATGGAACGTGGACATCTATTTTGAAGTGCGTTCTTGTTCCCGAAGTCAGTTCCCGTCATCATGAGACGCGAATTACGAAGTTTGTGTTTGCTCGTGTTTGTTTCCACGGGCATCACAGTGATTATGGAACCAACGGAAGAGTCAATTCTGAACAATGAAGAGTCGACGAGTTTCGGCGAAGCATTCGGCGCCTGCCTCGCTAGCAAAGAATTCGGTGCTTTCGAATGCGCGAATCGCGGTGCCTTGAGTGCTCTACAGTCGCTGAATCACAAAGATAATTTGGATTTCGGCGAGGTTCATTTGGAGAGAGCGGACGGTTACGGCAGAGAGCTCCTCGATTTGGACTACGATCCGAAAGATTTTGGGAATATCGTGAAAGCGGCGACGAGGCTGATGGAACGTAGGAACCTCAGATGGAATTTGGACAACGTGTATCCCGGGCTACAATTGAGGGCTGGTCCGATGTTAAACGGCAATGGGATTTTGGAGTTCGTGATCAACGAGAGGGCTGCGACTTTTAGCGACAGACACGCTGGTCCAGGTGAATTTTCATCTGTTCTATATTAAACGACCTCTCCAGAAGTTATAGTATAAATTCTTGAAGATCTACTTTGGAATTTATGATAGTCTTACTTCAAGATCAGCTTGAAAGCGAACCAACTGTTCTCTATGGTTCTCGTCCTAGCTGATCGTTACACGAGTTACTTTCAGGAAATTCCTCTAGTAGGCAGCACGGTCAAGGCTGTACATGTTGAAAGACGAATAGGTCGTTTAGAGTTTTCACATATTTTACAAATTATTGACAACCGACCTCGACCAGGTTCAGTTTTTAACTACGATATTAATAGATCGACCGTTCTATTTTTGAACAACGAGGCTATCGAACGCGAATCTCGTCGCGTAACTTTCTTCTTTTTAGGAAGGCAAATGATGAGGCACCTGCTGTTACCGTTCCTCCTGGGCTTCAAGTTCAACTTGGCATCTCTGATTCCGTTGCTATTCGGATTCCTGTTGCTGCTCACGAAGAAGGCGCTTATATTGACGAAGATAGCACTTGTTATCAGTGGACTACTGGGATGGAACTCTATGCTGGCTGCTGCTCCACCACCCGTTTACCCTGGAGGGGGCTTCCACCCTTATGGACAGGAAGCACCGTTCGGAGGATCTTACTATGAACATCATAATTTTCATCACAAACCATTCCGGGGCTATCATTCTAATGATTTCGAGCCGTTCAGTCAGCACGTGATTCGAGAAGTGGTCGACGTTTACGATAACACGGAGCAGACGGCGAAGAATAAACGAAATGGGAAGAATTTTGTATGGAAGAACGACTGATTTATTCTATCTTACTGTACCTGTTTATTATTACCCAAAGATTTAATTATGTTTGTAAGAATTCAATTCACCAAAGCTTGTATAAGATTTTCGAATAAAAATTTAGTTTAATCAAACAAGAAAACTTTTTGCAAGCTCCGTTTAGGTCCTACTCCTATGTCCTACTCCTATCTTTCTGCATTTCATCCTTTTTTTTCAACATATTTTAAGCTTCGATACGCTTCGTAACGATATTCATAAGTAAAGATAAAATTACGTTCATAAGAATTTCATTTTCTAAAGTTTGTATAAGATTTTTACATAAAGTTTGAGGCTAAATAAGAACGCTCTTTGCGGGCTTCATTTACATTTTACATGAATAACGTTTTTCTCCTAGCTTTCTGTATTTAATCCTCTTTTTGCAACTCATTTCTTGCTACGATACACCTCATAACGATAATTGCTACAATTAGACTTCTACCCACGCGTGAAGAAAAAAAGAAGAAATCCAGGTTGAATGTATATTCTATCAGACATCTCTACCAATGAATCACAATAGTCGTTTGTAGCTGTTCTCGTAGTATTTATGGTTTCTTTTCGAGTGGATATGTAGCTTCAGCATCGCCTCGCTGTTGTTTAAGTTTAAGCTTGTCCCAGAGGAATACATCCGGGATCATTCTCACTTCGCGGGAGCATTAGCTTCGCTCCATTACGGAGTCGTGTTACTTTAACAGTGACTTCCGCGGAAAGGAATACCGTCGCGCTCGATGAAACCCGCGGAGGTGAAGGCGTTCATGGTCCCGTGAACGACGTTCTTGGTTTTGCGCGGCTGCAACGCGTGGTGCTCGGAACTGTTTACGTCATGTGTGACGGTACAGATCGTATGGGCATATAATTTATCGGCGCGGCGCGGTGCGGTCGGGATGACGGCTGACCGTAAAGCGTCTGCTCGTTTTCCGGTAACCGCTCCGCGAGCCCGCGACCCGCTGCCATTCTTTTAGTCATTTTTCCACTCGGCTGCCCGGCTCGAACGTGCGTGACGTTGCACTCCTGTCGACGTAACGGTCCTTTGATAAATCCATCATTGTTTTTAAATTTCACTTGAAAATCTATTTTTTTTTTGTGGTCCGTCCAAGTAGGATAACCATTGCCTGTTCGAACAGGCTGAACTAGAGTAATCAGACAGTGGTAACTGTCTGTGACAAAAACTGTTTACCCCGCGATGAGATTGCCAAGATCTCTCTCCTCCCTTTAATAACAGAGCGAAGTGGGATAACTGCGTTCGTTCCACGACGACTGCAACGAAGATCGTCCTACATTTGTCAGACTGGAGCTCGAACGATTGTGGACATTAGCTAATAGAAAATTCGGTACGCGCGTAACGCACGTAATTGCTCGAAGCGCAAGCGGTCATTTGTCGGATGTAGCACGTTACGGTTCGTAACCCGTGTCGGGTTTAACAGTATCTCGACGTGGCGCGGTGTGTTCGTTAAATAAAGCTCGTCCATTAATTTCGTGAGTCACACAATTGAAATTCACTTAGAATCGCTGTCGTCGAACGAGTTTTAACGAACTCGTATTTTATAAAATCCAAGAAGGGTTCCAGTCGTAAAATAACTAAATTGAAAACAACTCATCGCAATGCTCACATAAATTAAGTGAATGCGAATTTATTTATGAATATGAATATAAAACGAAAAATTGGACATGAATGAAAAAGCAGTAGAGTATGAACGAGGAGGGGGAGAAAGAAACGTAACGGGCAGGGATCTCGTTAAAGGGGGCCATTAATCCCCATTTGTGGGCAGTTCCGGCGTTTCCGCCGTGCTTTCGGCTTCGCTTGGCAACCGGGTTAGAGGGATACTTTGCGGGGCTGTAGGACATTGTCTCGGGGAATCCCTACTCCCGGGTGGGTCGAGAGGAGGCGTGAAACAGCGCGTGGATCAGGTGTTAGTCGACATCGCGACGTACAAACACGGGACGGTGGTAGGAGAGACGCGAAATACCCTTATAAAAGAGCGGCCGCCGTTCGAAATCGAACTAGTTCGTCAGATTTTTCGAGCGGTCAGCCGTCCTATCAGGTGCGCGGCGATAGTTCGAGTACGTTGCTCGAACTTCTGTGTTTTCTGCTTTCCTGCCCCTGAGCATAATGAAGAGAATCGGTTACGTCATTTTGCTTGTTCACCTGGTGCTGCTGTTCGATCCAGCGAGGAGCAAAAACGAATACACGAAACTGTTCGACAAGTGCGCCAGAGAGAAGAATGCGTTCGATTGCTTGAAACGGAGGGCGTTGGAGATCCTCGATTCGGCGATCGGCGACGACTCGGTGTACGTGTTGAACGACTACGTGACCATTGGAAAGGATCCCGCGGCGTTGCCCAGCAATGCGTCCTTTAAAAACGAAAACGGGACGGAGCTTACTTTGGATCAGAAACTCGACAGCAAGTTCCACGAGTACATTGCCTCTAGAAGCGTCAAGCTGACTATTCCTGGAGAAACATTCGAAGGTACCTGGAACGCAATGATACATTTATTCTAATACAATCAAACGTGTATATAAATGGAAACGTTTTGTTTCAGGTCGAAGGAAGAAGGGCAAAGGATACGGTGCTCTCATGATGGGCGCCTTGGCTGTGGGAGGTAAGCCATAAGTCAATAAAAATTCTAATATAGTCTATAACAATTTCTGTGTTTGTTCTAGCGATGATGGCACAGCTAGCTTACGGCAAGATCGCGTTCATCGCAGGAACGGCGTTGCTCACGGCTAAAATCGCGTTAGTCCTCAGCGCCATTATCGGGTTGAAGAAGCTTGTATCCGGTCAAGGTGGTGGCAGCCACGAGGTAATTTACGCCACCGGTTCCGAACACCACGGAGGCTACAGCGGCGGAGGCTACGGCAGCGGCTGGCAAAGGGCCATCGAGGGTGTCTCTCCTACCTGATTCGAACAAACCTCCGCGAAACTTACATTAGTTCATGTATGATATCTTGTTTAGCGTGTACACGTATGCGAGTAAAAATAATAGGGGTGCTTCTCGTTTGTATGTAAAATAAAACTCGTCAGTTGCTCATGAGTGATATTAGTCCGGAAATTATCTCAGAGATACGATCTTGTATTACATATTAAGAATTTATCTATATTGTTTGAAATAGAGACGTTCAAATGAGGAAGCGTTACATACCAAATATTAGTAGTATTGTATTTAATTATTTATTTATTTATTTGTTTATTTTATATATGCGCTTTATACGTCATTTGTACATTTTGTAAAAGTGACTATAATAAAAACAGCTCTAAGGATGTATAATTATTTCCACTTGTTTTATGAGTCAAACGTATTTACCTTTGTTTTTGAGATTCTCAACAATAAAGTTTTTTATTAAATGCTTTTATTATTTAAATATGTTCTAGCGATGATGGCACAGCTAGCTTACGGCAAGATCGCGTTCATCGCAGGAACGGCGTTGCTCACGGCTAAAATCGCGTTAGTCCTCAGCGCCATTATCGGGTTGAAGAAGCTTGTATCCGGTCAAGGTGGTGGCAGCCACGAGGTAATTTACGCCACCGGTTCCGAACACCACGGAGGCTACAGCGGCGGAGGCTACGGCAGCGGCTGGCAAAGGGCCATCGAGGGTGTCTCTCCTACCTGATTCGAACAAACCTCCGCGAAACTTACATTAGTTCATGTATGATATCTTGTTTAGCGTGTACACGTATGCGAGTAAAAATAATAGGGGTGCTTCTCGTTTGTATGTAAAATAAAACTCGTCAGTTGCTCATGAGTGATATTAGTCCGGAAATTATCTCAGAGATACGATCTTGTATTACATATTAAGAATTTATCTATATTGTTTGAAATAGAGACGTTCAAATGAGGAAGCGTTACATACCAAATATTAGTAGTATTGTATTTAATTATTTATTTATTTATTTGTTTATTTTATATATGCGCTTTATACGTCATTTGTACATTTTGTAAAAGTGACTATAATAAAAACAGCTCTAAGGATGTATAATTATTTCCACTTGTTTTATGAGTCAAACGTATTTACCTTTGTTTTTGAGATTCTCAACAATAAAGTTTTTTATTAAATGCTTTTATTATTTAAATATAAACATTTCACGTGTTACATTTGTACTAAGAATTCAATCGAGAATCAACTGTCTTATAATATCCTTCGTCGTTTTCGATAGTTGTAGTCACCCTCCCCGAAACCGTGATGATCGTAATCGATGCTGGAACTGTGGGTATGCTCGAAGCTATGATGCGGGTGTTTGATTATCTCGTACGATACTTTCTCCTTGTGTTCTACGAGAAATTACAATAAAAAATTAGAACACCAGTCACTGTTGTAACAGGAACAATGTTACAGTTATTTACCAGACGCTTTCTTCAATGCGATCGCGGTTGCAATCGCGAGGGCAACTTTGGCAACGATCAACGCTTTGCCAGCGATCGCGGCAACTGCGTTAATTATCACGTAAAGCATGGTTAATTTCGACGCGCCGAGAAAATAGAGCAATATCTGCCCGTAGCCTCTGTTTTTCTTCCTCCGTCCAGTGACTGGAAACAGAGAAAACACAGTTACGGCGGTACTTGCTACAATAAAATTGTAGTTAATTTAGATCATCTACTGGATACGGAGTACGAATTAAACGGGGGAGTGTCTCGACACGGAAGGCGATGGTCTTAATTGAATAATTACCAGCGGAAACAGAGGTAACTGCTGAATATTGTCATGGAACGACTGTCTAGATTTTTATACAATGTTTACGTCGCGAGCGACGAGGCGTCGTCGTTAGAACCGTTCCATCGAGTTTTGCCTGACCGGAACGTACTCATTCCACTTGCTAGGAGCAGCCGCTAGTCACGCGTACTATATTCTTTTTATTTCCAATTCAGTTCAACGTATTTTCAGGTTAATAGCAGAAAGGCAATACCGTATGAAATCAGTACATAAGAATGTGGCTAATATAATATATAATATATAAAATATTAAACATTTTATTTTGGAATCTTAAGTGCAAAGAAGATGCAGAATGAAGTTGATTTTAAGCGATAAATGAGCGTCTCGTTAACAACTGTCAGTCAATTGCCTATCTTCATGAAAAATTGTCTATTTTCCTGAGATCCTACATTATTTTTACCCTTGAACTCACCCTCCAATGTTTCATCAGTTTCATCCGTCACTTCGTTCGTTATTGTCTCATCCGTGTTGACCATGGATTGATTTCCTTTATCCTCGATTTCCTGCACCCTCGTCGCGCATCCGGTGAAATTCGCGCCCCGGTCGCAATCAATCGGTATCGATTCGGCAACGTGGAAATCGCGATAGAGCACGGTGCCGTAACATGCGGCCAGAAGGCCGTACAGCTGTAAAACTAGGATCGTACGTCGAAGCATGTTCAACGTGAACTGGCCGTTCGCACGTGTGGCGATTTTTATAGGGACGCACGCAATTAGTGGTTACGCCATACAGAGCGTGAATCCATGGCCACTGATCGTTCTCCCGCGTAACTTGTTTTGCCGGATCGCTCGCGACGCGCGGATCGCCCCAGCCGCTGTTAATTGCGCGGTGTTCGCGTGCCGTGAAACAGGCCAGGGTGCATCAGCTCCGTTGCATCGAAATCAAAAGGAATTGGGCTAATTGCTCGGGGATTGTTTGTGATTCGCGGAATGAGTTTAAAACACGGCAGCTTAATGTACCGTGCGAGAGACTTTTTTCACCGCGGAGAGAACGAACTGCTTTTACGGCTTGATTAAATCATTATTATAATATAATCGACGATGGAGCATCAGGAGTCGATTTTAACTAAATACTACTTGTATGTAGAAAGCTATAGGCATCCCGAAGGTGCTTCCGCTGGAAAGTCACTAAACTGCGATCGCGAGTCAAATGAGACGCCGTCAAACCGTGGCTCGCACGGCAAGCGGCTAGGAAAAGTGGAGAACAAGGTTTAAAAGGCAGGCTTCTTTTCCATCCTCGGCTTTTGTGTGCCACTGGGCCGATCGAGCATCCTCGATACACTGCTTCGAGGTAGGTATGCAGCCATGGAGAGTTATTAACTTGCGAAGGTCGCAAGGCTGCACGCGAGTCGGCGAAACAGCGTTAACGAGGCGCTAACAGGTCGCGCCTTTATGAATGAGAACGTCCGTTTCAAAATTACTAAGATCAATCGGCGTCGGGAGCTACCGTGAATCCCGCAATATCGCATGATGTCTTCGTGAACAATTTCACGGATCGTTGGAACTTTCATCTCCCGGCTCACGATATGGTTCTATTCCGGATATCGAGCCTACTTGTTCTTAGAGATCTGATAGCTGAAATCGTGCGAGCGCAGACGGTGGATGAACAGAGAAGCACGGAACGCTAATGAGCCAGAATATCGCGCAACCACCTGTCGCGAATCGGTGACCTGAATCTAGTAATTGGAGAAACCCTTGGTAAAAAGGTTGATATAACACTGGATTAGATATAAAATATAAAACAACAACGAAATCTTTGAGTCACGCAGGTTATTAAAATTGAAAAATCTTTTATTTCGTTATTATAATTTGGACGACGATGTCTCATTCTCTACGAGCTGGCACTTCGAATTGCGTAAGGGGGAACACTTTTCCACGGTGTGGTTAAGCTTCGCGTCACGCGTACTCGTGTAAACTTGTGCGAAATGGTGCAAATGAGTCAAAAAGGAGACGGAAAGTGCCGGCGATTCGATTCGTGGGAACGAGGCATCCACGTGCTTTCACAACTGATTATTTTCTTGTCGTAACGTAAGACGTTTTAGTAAATTGAATTCTTATCGTTGACGAATGATAAGGAATTCATTCCAATAAAGGAAATGCAAAATAGTCGCGTGGAATTCGTGCTGTCGTTGTAACGTATTCGTCCATTAATTTCGTGCGTCCTCGTTTGCCACTATGCCAAGAACTTTCCTTCGCAACAATGGAGAACGTCCCGATTGCTCACGCTGTTACCTGCTTTCGTATACATAATAAAGCATGCCTCATCACGTGTAAATCAATTTTCCCAATTAGTAACTTCCTAAAAAATTACTTGCAATTTTGTCACTGATTCAATTGACAAAATTCTATTTATTAAACAAATATTATAAAAGATAGCTTTTAATTTGATTTTCCCATTTGCAAAACAACGATTCCATGCACTTTGCAATTCGATTAACGATTGGGTTTTTATGTAACTGTAGTCTCGATGTAAATTGTCCAAGAGGGAACTCGTCGATCATTCTATCGCGTTTACGCGTTCCAAGAATTATTCTCGCATTGTGGAATTCTTCCTGTGTGAATTCATCAGCGTGCCGCGAATGTGGCACACGTTTTAACGTTGGTCGGCTCGTTTCACTGCCGCGACCCTCAGCTCGGTGCTCTACACTCCGCCGTATACTCATTCTGTACTATAAGGCATGGGATAATCGCGAAGTAGGTAAGCGAACATCGAGGATGCGTCGCGTCTTCGCATTAGAGATGCGTTAACCTCGATCGAGTCTCTGTTCGTTCGCGTTGTCACGTGATGAGCTGGTGACATGTTCTATTTGAGTTTATTCATATTTTCAGCAGCCCTCCACGTTCCCAGGCTCAGAGAAACGAGGAAACACCGCGCCTCTCTTAATTCGTGACCCGCGAAGAATTTTAGGAAAAGATCTTATCGTTTATACCTCTTTATACCTCTAAGAGAACTCTGAATGATATACTTTTTTTTCCGAAATCTAAATGCGAAGTTGAAGAATTAGCAGAACGGAAGTTAATTTCATGGTGCGATAGTAATTTAGATCAAGAGAATAAAGACGACGGTGGGAATGTTTTGGGCTGATAAATTCAAATAAATACGTACACCCATTAATAATTAATTTCTTCGTTCGTTTCTCTCTGTTTTTCTCTCTCTTCGCGGGAACGCCCGGCTACTCTCCCGCAATCGGCAAAAGAAAAAGATCGTCGCCGCGTCCGAGTGAATGTGAGGTGGTTACCGGCGAGTGTAATAGGACTATTACGTTGCACCGTTTACGTCTCGAAATTGCTCGACGATCAATGAACTTTCTTAATTACGATGAATGAAATCGAAATAGAATCACGATGGCGTCATTAAACTCATTCACGAGGAGTCTATTGACGAAATTATTTAAGATCGAAGGGATACTATGAATGTTTTTCTTTTAATAAAAAGAGAACAAAATTCGTTTATTTTTATTATAAAATCGTCGACCTGTCAAAAGGAAAGCAATCGGGGAAAATGATTGGGAGAAAGTTGGACTGTAAAAGCGATTTAATCTGTATCGAATTTGAATCTAGGATGAAACACGCGGGAGTTAAGGCCACGGTCCGTCCGCGACCTAAAACTACTTGGAAGCGTCACGATCACGCCGGCATGGCATCGACTTCGTCACGGGGTCAACGAGTTCACGGTGCCAGGTAGTGCGCCGATAGTATACAGTACACTTCCTATCCCTACATTTCTTAGTGCACCTTCGTATCCCCCACCAGCTCGAGCGCAAGCGAAACTTAATGTAACGTTCCACCTTAGTATGTATCTACCTACCTCTGCCTTGATCTCGATGTTTCAGTGGGTCTGTGTGTCAACATGGGTCGCATGCCCGCGAGCATGAGAGAATCCTCCGCGTAAGGAGAGCCGAAGGAGAACGAGGCGAACGCGATCCGAAGAACCGACGGAGAGGACTAACACTGTTGGTTGTTTAGAGTTTAGAGGGAACGTCGTCGTCACGTGCTCGTGGGCCCCGCTGGCATGCCCCCTTACGTGGGAGACAGCTCGGTCCGGATTTCGCGAGGGATGGTGGATCATGATGGTATATATCCGCGCGGATTCGTACGAACATCGCCAGTTACGTTTTGATCCTGAAGCCCGCGGGAGTGCGCTCGGTGGTCTCTGTTCCACTTTGTAAAATTATCCGCTCGTTCCTGTGACGTACTACGACACGTAATCCCGTGGTTTTATCTCCGCCAAGGATTAAGGATCTCGAGTTTTTACCATGGATCTCGTCACGTCCAAGTGTGTGTTTATGCTGTTGGCGTACTGTGCCTTCTCAGCCGTTTGCCAAGCGTCCTCCGGAGCCAAGGAGGACGAGAGTATCGTGGACAGAAGCTTCAGGGCGATGTACAAAGTCTACGAGGACTGCCAGCATAGGAACATAGCTATATCGCCGTGTCTGAAGAAGAAAGCCATCGCGTTCTTCGAGAGACTCGGCGGGATGCCTACGCTTCTTCTATCGGAGAATTTAGAGCTGGTCAAGGTGGCTGACGAGATACCGAAGCGGTCTGTCGCGGAGATGGAAGCCAGCTTAGGCAGGACCGTGTCCAGCAAGGACGAGATCTTGAATGAAATCCTGTTCGATCGCATCGCTTCGTTGCTCAACAGCTTCAACATCCAGATTCGACTACCGAGGACCACTCCCGGCGAGCTTAAGACCGGTATGGAGGAAGGCCGTGGCAAGATGAAGAAGATGATGGGCATGATGATGATGGGAGTAGCTATGAAGATGGCAGCCCTGATTCCGATCGCCCTCGGTGTGCTTTTCTTGTTGGCCGGCAAGGCTCTCATAATCAGCAAGATCGCTTTAGTGCTCTCTCTTATCATCGGGTTGAAGAAGCTTCTCGCTCAGAAGCACAGCCATCACGAGCACAGTAGCTGGCAGCCGAGCGGCGGCGGCGGCTGGGACAGGAGTCTGAAGAACGTCCTCGGATCGACGGAGCCGTCGACGACGGAGCAGATCCGCGAGTACGCACAGAGCTTGGCCTATTCGGCGCGGCATCAGCACTGATTTTTTTTTTTTATTCCCCGCAAATGCAACGAGAGGAACGAGTCTTACGGTTCCGTTGAACGTGCATGGACGCAACTGGCATCCTTTGTTGGACTAATCGATAATTCTAAAGTGATAATGCGACTTCGTTTATTCCGATATTTTCGCTTAAAACGCACTTCGCGCAAGAGTGCAAATAAACGCGGCAGAGTTTCGATTATCCTCGCTCGGGGGTCCTAGAATAAATTTATTTCTTTGTACGAATTCAGACGAGTTTACACGAAAGATGCCAAGTAATGGTAATTCACATACTTTGTAG